CAGTCTTACACAATTCACAGTGCTCACCATGGCACATACCCTCCCCAGTGTCTTATCACCCAGCCACCCCATCCCTCCCACCCCCCACCACTTGCTGGAGTGGTGGGAAATGTACTTTTTTACTTGGACATACTTCTGCTCCCAACTAATAGGCTATTGGATAGGCAACAGTCAGTCATATTTAGCTTAAAAATCATCAAAACAGCAAAAATTAAAGAAAAATATTTCCCATTTAATAATATATTCTCATGACTATGTTTTGTTTTTTAGAATTTATATATAATTTTCACACAATTTATTTGCATTTTCTAGAAGCCAAATAAGAAACATTAATTCAAGATTATACTTATAATCAATGCCATTCAAACAAAAAGGTTTATATATGTTATTTATTAAGAAGAAATCACTGGGGGACGCCTGGGTGGCTCAGCAGTTAAGCGTCTGCCTTTGGCTCAGGTCATGATCCCAGGGTCCTGGGATTGAGACCTACATCAGGCTCCTTGCTCAGCAGGGAGTCTGCTTCTCCCTCTGCCTGCCACTCCCACTGCTTATGCTCTCTCTCTCTCTCTGACAAATAAAATCTTAAAAAATAAAGAATTCATTGGAAAAATATTTTTCACATTTTCCATATTTCTACTTAGCAAGGTAGTTAGATCCTTATGCTATATAGGAAGAGGCATTATATCAGTTGAAAGGAGGTTATGAGAAGTTAAGGGCAGATACCATATACCCTACAGGACCCGCTAAAATATATATGTGTGTGTGTGTATAATAGCTCATAGCCAGTAAAAGAGATAAGATGCACAAATTACACATTTTTTTTAAAGATCCAGAAAAGGGTGAAAAGTGCTAATAGGGCAAATAGGAAACAGCAGCATGATAGATTTAAACCCTACAGTATCAATAATTATATTAAATATATATGATCTGGGATGCCTGGGTGGCTTAGTAGGTTAAGTGTCTGCCTTCGGCTCATTTCATGATCCCAGGGTCCTAGGATTGAGTTCCGCTTTGGGCTCCTTGCTCAGCAGGGAGCCTGTTTCTCCCTCTGCCTGCCACTCCCCCTGCTTGTGCTCTCTTTCTCTGACAAATAAATAAATAAAATCTTAAAAAATATATAGGGTCTAAACACCCCAGTTGAAAGTCAGAAATTTTCAGATTGGATAATAAAAGCAACACCCAACTACAGGCTGCCCAGAAAAACCCATTTTAAATATAAAGAAAAATGAGGTTGAAAATATAAGGATAGAAAAAAGATCTACTTAAGTACCATAAATCATAAGAAATCTAGAGTGGCAATATTAATATTAGACAAAGTAAATTACTGAGCAAAGAATATTACCTAGAAATACAAGGGTCATTTTCTAAAGATAAAAGGGTCAACTGAAAAACAGGACAAAACAGTTCTAAAGACTTAAGTACCTAATAATGGAATTCAAAATACATGAAGCAAAACGTAAAGGACTTCAATAAGAAATAGACAAATACATAGTTCATGTTGGAGATTAACACCCATCAGTAGATAATTGAGCACAATAGAAACAAAAACAAAAAATGGAGACTAGAAAATCTCAACCAACTTGATCTAAATGACATTTAGAGAAGATTCCACAAATGATTAACAACCCTCATTCTTTACAAGTGCACAGCAAACATTTACCAAGATAGATTACATTCTTGGCCCTAAATTAAGGAAATTAGAATATTAGAAAAAGTTTGATGTTAGTAAAAGAAAAACCCACTAAATATACTGTGAAAACAAGAAAGTTTACAAATAAAAAACCTCAGCTTATACATTAAGAAACTAGAAAATGAGACCCAAAGTAAGCAGAAAGGAAATAATAGAGTGAAAATGAAACAATACACATAACAAAAAACTTAAGAAAATCAAAAGCTAGTTCTTTGAGAAATTCAGTAAAATTAATAATTCTCTAGCCAATTCAATCAGTACAAAAATAAGACAGAAATTTCCAATATCAGGAACAAGAGAGGTAATACAAATACAGACTCTACAGATATTAAAAGAATAAAGAATTATTATGACTAACTCCCAATACATTTGACAACTTAAATGAAGTAGACAAATTTCTTGAAATACACAGATAACTAGAGCTCACTGAAAAATTTCAGTGGCTCTATACTGATTAAACAAATAGTATTTCTAGTTAAAAATCTATCCTACAGACAAAACAGATGAAAAACCCTGGCCCAAATGGTTTGGGAATTCTTCCAAATAATAAAGGAGAAAATAAAAAATACCAATTTTACATAACTTTTCCAGAAAAATGAGTAGTAGGAACTACAAAACTTCTGTAGGACCCGCATTACTCTGACACTAAAAGCAGATACAGATATTACAAGAGAACTATGAAACAATATCCTCATGAATATAAATACAGATGATATCGTCTATTTAGAAATCCAATGGAACTCTACAAAAAAGCTACTGGAGCTTGCAAGCAGTGATACTGAAAAAAAAGATCAACATATAAAAGTCATTTGTATTTCTTTCTATACTAGCAAAAATTTCATCTAAAAATACTAATGATAGTACCAAGTATATAATAGGAATAAATGTGGAGAAAGATGTACAAGACCTATAAAGTGAGAATGGTAAAACTTTGCTAAGAGAAATTGGAAAACTTACAATAATGGGGAGAGAAATCATGTTTATGGAACAAAGATTCAATGTTAAGAAATCAATTCTCAGAATAGTTTATAGCTCTAAAACAATCCTAATCAATACCTCAGCAAGCTTTTTTGTGGACATTGAAAAATTAATCCTAAAACTTACATGGAAATACAAAATACCTACAATACTCAAAACTATGTTGATAAGGAAAAGAATATTGGACAATTTATACCAACTTTTAGACTTACTCTAAAGTTACAGTAATCTACAGAGTGTTATATTTGCATTAAGTTAGACATATAGATTGGTGGAAAAGATAGAGAGTCCAGAAATAAATCAACACACATAGTTAACTGATCTCAACACAGGAACACAGTCAGTTGTTTAGGAAAAGGACAGTAGTTTCAACAAATTGGATTTCCATATGCAAATAAAATGATCAAAATACAAATAAAAAAGTAACTCACAATGAATACTAGTTTGAATTGCAAATAACAGAAAACAAGTAAAAATGTTTAAAAATGATGAACTGTAAAGATTTTAGGATCTGTCATTGAATCCGAGGAAGAGTTAAATAGGAAGCTCAGAAGGTAGGGCAATAGAGCGGCTCCCATGATGTTGGCAGTAGGAGTCTATAGACATTTCAGTAGAGCTTCTTCAGTGACTTGACTCAGCTTTCAACTCCTGTCTCTCAGTTCAAATTCTAAATTCTTCCAAGAAATAATGTGATGAGCCGGTCTTTGTTTAGGTAGTTACCAATTAACTGAGTTCGGCATGGGGTTATAGTTATTACCATGATAGCTGTTGACTCATTTCTGTAATCCTGCACATGGTTAGAGGGGAGGCAAGTTCCAAGGAAGTGGTTCAAACCAACTGTTGTATAAATTTATGGAAATTATAGTTTCGTTATTTAATAATGTAGACTAAAATTTAGAAAACAAGATATGAAAGCTGTGGTTGTTTTAAAATATGATTCCAAATTATCTCCATTTGATCTCATCCTGAAAAGGGAAACAATTTATCATAAAAAAAATAGAACTATTAAGTCTAAGTCTGTATTAAAACATACTTCTTCAAAGAATTGTCATTTCATATACTTATGTATTTATATCTTTATGCTCAATTGAATAAGTATACAAACCTTAACCTTTGCAGCTATTTCTGATGCAAAATTACACCCATGTCACCCTGATGAAATTGAAATTGGAGGTCACTGTGTTCGTAAGTACCACATTTTATTTTTTAATAATGTATTTGTAAACTAACAATTTCAGTGGGTTTTTATGTTCTGTAACTTACTCTAGATGTTAATTATACTATTTGAGAGAGAGAGCGAGTGAGAGAGCACACACACACACACACACACGAGAGCAGGGTGAGGGGTAGAGGGAGCCCGATGCAGGACTGGATCCCAGGACACTGGCAGATGCTTAACTGACTGAGCCACCCAGGCACCCCAAGTCAAAACATTTTAGATCCCCAAATTTAATCTTGCAAATGACCAGAGATAAAAATTGCAAAATCTTCCTAAATTTCTAGAAAAAACTTCAAACATTTTTAACATGAGAAAAATGAAAAAAGGTTATTTTTTACCACTTGATGTATTTCACTGAACAGTATAATCACTCTTGTGATGAGCAGCTCTTTCAATCCAGAGTAATGATGGGTTGAGTTATAAGAGTAAATGATAAAAGTAAAATAGTCATTTGAATTTACATTATGACTGTTTTTTAAGCAAGAAATTATAATGTAAAAAACCTTAATTTTATTTGTTCTGTCTTAAAAAAGGAAATCTTTCAGAAATTGCTTAAAAGGAGGTAAATTACTTTTATGTTCAAGAGCTAGACTCTTCAAGGGTAGACACATCCAACATGCATTAATATAAACTTGATGAGCTGATACATGTCTCTGCTATCAGTATTTCTCTGATTATGGGTCAAAATAAGAACGTGCTACTTTGCTAATTGCTAGAGAATAATTATTTCTCTAAATGCTATCTTCCTTTTCCTAATATAACTCCCTGAATTACAGTCCCCGTGACCTTTCCCCATCAGCCAGTTCCGGTCTTTAAGATACCCGGTTACACATGCATTTTCTCCCATCAGGTCATTGCCACCACCACCCCCAGGAAGGCCAGAAGTTGTGGTGGAGCTGATTGGATCCAGACTTTTCTGTAGGTGTGCTTTTGAGGTTTCCCCTACAAACACCTCAGTGGGATTTCTCATAACTTGGCCTAGGCTTTTTTCTCAAGAAATCAAAGAGGAGCTGAAGCAAGAGACCACAGTTCAGGCATCCTCTCTTTTAGAACTGGACGGCATAAATCTCAGACTCGGAGATAGGGTATGTTCACAAACAATTGGGTTTTCTTTCCTTTTCATGACTGTATTAATTTTCAAAATGATTTTTTTAGCATAACATATCCTAAAAATACTTTTGTCCCCAGAATATAAAGCACTATTGTTTTTCTTTTTATTTTTTCCTATGTAATTGTACCAACTCCAGTGACAATTGGATGAGTCAGTAATCTTAGTGACTACATATGAATATCCACTGTTACAGTTTGCTGAATTATCAATGAACCCTTATAACTTGATGCCTCTTTCTGGTTTTAAAATGATATGTTTTTATTCTAGAAAGATGTTTTCACTTTTTTTAATGATGATATCACTTATTATCTACGTTTGAATATATCTTAAACACAGAGTCTACAACACTTTAATTTATGTTCAGGTTTTGAATAGCTAATATTTTTAAATGGTGGAATTTTTCTCAGTTTTCAAGCAAGTTTTAAGATTATTTAGTTTCTTATTATCTTGTTTGCACTATGTACCAAAAGTACTTAATTACAATAGTTGACACATATTTTTTCCATAATTTTATTGCTAAATGATTATTTGTTAATTGTATTCATAGATATTCTGTAGTGCTTCCGTCTTTTTATTGGAGAAACCACATGTACAAAGTTTAGCCACCGAAAGCCAAGAATTTTTTGCAGGCATTAAGGTATGTACCCATGGGGATGGATCAGAAAGATTATTTCTCTATCACTGTGTTTTCCATACTGCAATCTATGGATGCTGGTTCCAGGACCTCATCACAGACTGTATATTGAGATCCAAGAGTCTGTATTTTTGAAAAGTAACCCAAATAATTCTAATGTATAGTGAAGTTTGAGGGCCCCTGTTAATGAACAAAAATTAGAATATTTTTGCATATTTTTTTCAGAAGTAGCTCAAATTAGAATAAAACTGTTATTCCCATAATTCCTTCTGTCATGCAACTAAAAGTTAGAGTGTTGCTATTTAGTTACCATGCATTTTGGAAGACAGGACCAAGTCAGGTACTGAAGGATCGGGCTAGAGTAGAATTGACCCAGAAATCTGGGCTCTATGAACTGTGAAGAGGGAGCTAATTAAACGAGGCAGGATCTGTGGTCACTGCTGGTAGCATGGGGCATCCAAGAACAGATGAGCTGTTGCAGCAGATGAGCAGGCGTGACAGGGAAGGAATGAGGCTAGGCAAGCAAGCACTGCACACCCTCTGCGGTCTCAGCCACGGCACTGGAGTTTGACCTGGACTCATTTCTAGTTCAGGGATAAGATGGGATAATCGATAGATTGTGAGAATAGGACTCAGAACCAGGACAGAACCTGTTCCTGGAGAATGTCCATTTATATACAACAGGGACTAGGGAAAGGAGGGAGAGGAGTAACCATGTTGTCAGAACAGCATAATCACAGTGGGGGGAGAGCAGAGCTCAGACCTCGGAGCACAGAACCTTTGAATCTCCATTGGCCAACACTCAGCAGACAACATCAGGGTCAGTGGTCGGCCCCCAGCAAATGTTTCTGATTAGGCTCACAGGGAAAAAAATGTGGTGCTCAGAAGCATCTGTTTTGAGAGCTAGCCAGGAATTGAGACGGAATAAAAACTTCCTGCCTCACAAAAGGATTGGCCTATGAACTGGGATAGGACCAGTCCTAGATTTTTGGTACTCAGTAATCCAACTGAGGAAAACAGAGGCTGTGAAATAAGATGAAGGTTGAGATATTTGAGGTGACAATAGTATTTTGATTTATATATTAAAAAATACTTAGATTTCTATTTGCAACGACGTGGATGGAGCTAGAGTGTATTATGTTAAGCGAAAAAAGTCAGAGAAAGGCAAATACCATATGATTTCATTCATATGTGGAATTTAAAAAACAAAACAGATGAACATATGGGGGGAAGAGAGAGAGGGAAACAAACCATAAGAGATTCTTTTTTTTTTTTTTTTTAAATATTTTATTTATTTATTTGAGACAGAGGGAGTGAGCACACAAGCAGGCAGAGAGGCAGGCAGAGGGAGAGGGAGAAGGAGACTCCCTGCTGAGCAGGGAGCCGGATGTGGGACTCGATCCCAAGACCCTGTGATCATGACCTGAGTCAAAGGCAGATGCATAACTGACCTAGTCGCCCAGGCACCCCATAAGAGACTCTTCATGATAGAGAACAAACTGAGGGTTGATAGAGGGAGGTGAGCAGGGGATGGGCTAAATGGGTGATGGATATTAAGAAGGGAACTTATGATGAGCACTGGGTGTTATATGTAAGTGATGAATCACTAAATTCTACTCCTGAAACTAGAATTGCACTGTACGTTACCTGACTAGAATTTAAATAGGAATTTGAAAAAAACCCTTAGATTTCTAACTTACGTTAGGGATGATATTAATCCCTAAGAATAAATACACTCTTACCTTGGTGAGTCAGTAAATGTTAACAAACCAATGGAAGAATATAGGCATCTTTGTCTCCTCCATCTCTAGTGCCCATCCCAGAACGAGAATCACTAAGGCAGACTCCTACCAGACTGCCTAATGTGTTGGGGAACCAGATCATGTCTCAGCTCAGAGCAGTCCAGCGACTCCATATGCTGCTAACGTTTTTAAGGGTTTGGTTTTAATTGCTCTTCTTTAATTAAAAAATTCCAGGGCTTCAGTTATTACTCTCAGCTTATTTAGTGAAATATGAGCTGTTGAGAAAAATGCCCTTGCAGAATTTTATCTTAGGAATAAATTGTTTTGACATGACTGCTCTGTATGCTTTCTTCTACCAGTTACACCCTGAGTTAAGCACTATATCAGAAGATGGGAAAGAATATCAGTTGAAGATAGAGAGCACAGTTCCTGTCATTTGTTCTGAATCCAGTGAGCTTGGCCAGGAGTGCAAAATCTCAGTAAAACTGAAAACTGTTGATCAAGGTAATATACTAAATTCACTTAATTTTATTATTAGATTTCAGGTAATAATCAGTGCTTTTTTTTTTTTCTTCTAGAAAAAATCACCAGACTGTATACATGTGATTATGTTGTGTGTTTTTATCAACTTACGGCTCAGTCATATTAATACTACTGGGCCATATTTATGACTGTCAAAACAATCTGTGTTGCAGTGCTCATTTATCCCTCCTGGGCTGGAAGCATTCATTGAAACCAACCAACCAACCAACCCAGTAATGAGCAGCTCTTCCTCCTCATCGTTCTCTTCCTCCCACTTATTTATTTACTTTTTTTCTTTGCTTTGTTTTCAGAGATGGAGGGTCAGACTGCTCTTGAAGATTTTCCAAATATCCCAAACTAGGGAGGTGTGATATATTATGCAAACATAAGTTCAAACCTAGGCAACATGGATTTCCTAATGCATTCTTTACACTTCTCTCCCTAACATAAGCTTGTATTTGAGATCTTTTGTTTTAAAATTCTATTTAATTACTAATTATATAGATTGTAGGATGCACGGCTACATCTATGTCACTGTCACAGCCTATAGAGAAAGATGAAATTCTCCCATAGAACACGATGGAGTACGAGAGGACAAACCATGTATAGCAGTCATTGGGTTGATTAGGTTCTGTTTCTCCCCCTGATGTAGAGACCAAAGCATGTAAGAGATACATAAATTAGAATATAACTTTTAAGAGAGACTCTGTTTACATACCTTTTCACGATAGGACACAAAATGTTATGTGGTAAATACACCAAATACAATATATCTAGGTCTTCATGTCTATATTACACCAAATTAAACCAGAGAAACGAAAGGATAAAAATGCTAGGAGAGTCTGATGGGAATGAATGCTGCACCCAGAAAAGAGATGGGTGTGGAAATAGAAAGAGGCATTGGGAGAGGCCGTCCCCAGACAGTTGACAATAAGCAGGCTGAGGTGATACCCTGCTACCTATTTAGATTTCAGGAGCACCATGAGCAGCACTGTATTTTGAAATTCAGCTCAGAAATATGCAATTAGACCCTCTCTCACACCGTTTGACATAATTCTACTTCAAACGACCTGCAAAAAGCATATTTTGTAAATGTTGCTATGGTTTATTGGGGCGAATGGGAAGAAGATGATGTTATTGATATTTTCCAAACATGTTAGGCAAAGATTTTCTCCCGTTGCAAGTATACTTTAAACTATATTTGTGTGCTCTCAATTCTTTCAACAAGACAAACATTATAATAATAGAAGTATATTTCTACCTTTTAGAAGTTTACATGTTCCTATTATTTGTCAATTAAAAATAATTTCCTTTTTTTCTGGAGAAGAATTTCTGGATTTCATTCTGGATATGCTTCATCTTATCTTTTTTAAGTGTATCTACTTCCATAGAGAACAAGTTGGTGTCTCCTAGTGTATTTCTATAATGACTATGCTGCTTTTTTATAGGCTTGCAGAGAACAATACTTGGCCCTCACACCATAGGCAGGGGAAATTATGTCAGGGGATATATCCAAGCCACATATATTCCATGATCACCTTAGGGAGCTGGCTAAGAGTTTAGATGTTTTTGTTATTTTTTATGTGCATAGGAACAGTATGTATTTCTAGGGGAAAAAATGTGTGAAGAAGAATTTTTTTTTTTTCCAGGAATTTGGAGTCTAGTGCAGTGTTCTATGTCATACCAATATAGTTTTATACCTGCAAACTTTGTGTGGAAGAAAAGAAGATAGAAAGTTTTTAATAACTGCTGCTTTTTTCTGGATCTTAAAAGCATTTTGTAATCAGTAATTAGATATGAGAGCAAACTTCCCTTGTTGCCGGTTTTTGGAGCAGTCTATCCTTCTTCTTTAGTTACATTCCTGAAATTCCTTTTTTCTCTTCTGTTACTATTTTCTTTCTAAATTTTGTGTTCTTTGTTCCATAGGAAAGGGAGCATCTCAAGGTTCTGAATATATTGGCACATTTGGGAGACAAAAAGCAATAGCAAGTTTATTACTGGTGGGGAATTACTCAATTTATTTTAACATTTCTATTTTTAAGATGATGATCCAATAATCATCTATACCAACAATCATTGCTATCACTCAACAATGGATAGAACATGAGTACCAACCCTGTGAAATGTTACAGACATATTTGGACCCAAGGCACAATTCTTAGGCAGAAAGAACATCAAATTATGTTTCTTGGTGGTGGAATCATGATTTTTCTTACAGAAACACAATACATTTTCTATATTGCTTTTGAATTTTATGCAGGTACATATGGATTTATAATCTTATTGAAAATAGTACTGTGTATGCACATATATATATATATATATCAAAGTTGACTAATTATTTGTAAAGATTGGGTAGGGTTCAGTAGCTTTGTTTTTATTTAGACAAAATTACAACCATATTTTTTAAATAAGAGAAAAAAAGAATCTCTCAATTCAGTGTTCCATGTTAATCAAGTTATTACATGCTTTGGTTGGTATATTTCCTTTAAGAAAAAATCTCAATGTATTTTTTCACAAAATAGGTAAAGAACAGCTAGGTTTAAATTTGGCACTGTCTTCCTGTCATGTGGACCTTCAGCGGACATCATCGTGTGCTAACGGATCGTGTAGCTGTGCTTTTGTGTACTACACTGCTGTGACAGATTTTTCTCGAGATGGAGACAGAGTTACAAACATTGTAGTGGAACCTATAGTTCATGAGGATTTCCTGTGGAACAGCTACATTCCAGACAGCGTCCAGGTTGACAAATTACAAAAAATACCTTGCAATGGGAGCTTTAAAAAAGATATATTTATTTGAGCAATACATCTTGTAAACTTTTCATTTCAAAATTGTTTAGTAAGTTTTTTCCATTTTTAAATGAGTCAGTTTCAACAACTGTGATAAAAACAATAATTAATGAAAAAGTCATTGAGATTGATAAGCAATTTATTGTGTATCACTAAATACAATTAATGATAATATTTACTAAAAATATCTTTGCTTTTAAGATCAAAGTAAAGGATGTCCCAACTGCTTACTGCTACTCATTTACTGACCCACATATAATTACATTTGATGGCAGGTAATTTCCTGAAAGTCTTTTTCTTTTAGTAGTTTTTGTTTCTTTTGGATTTTGCTGTTGTTTTGTTTTAAACATCTTACTATTTTATTATTTTGTCATCCTGTTCACTGAAAGATTAGAAAGGAAGGCATGTATGGATATCACTGGCTTGTTTCAAAATACTAATTTATTTGTGTGGAGTGTTTTTGCCTTAAAGTTTGGCCCTTGGTAAATACACAGATTAGTTGTGAGGCTGAATTTGGAAAAATGAAGATTCTTACAAATACAGTCATTTTAACTTGATCATTTAGTCATTTTTAATAATGGTTAAATTCTTTGCTCTAGAGATACTTACTATATTGCATTTCCACATGATAATGAAATAATTCTTAAGGTTTAGGCAAGATGATTAGACTAACACATTATAATTATTTAAAAAACTAAGCATTTCTATTTCATGACAAGGATACTCAGGGGAAAACTATTGTAGCCATCATAAATACCTGGATTTCTGCCCCTGGAATGCAAGTAAAATGGGCAAAATGATCAAAAAGTAATCTAAGCTGTCTTGCTATTAATATCTGCATATGAGGATTTAAACTCAGTTATACTGTTCTGGGGAATATATGATTTTAAGATGTCCCTAAAGAAAATTATAAGAACACCTCTTTGTTGAGTCAAAATTGTCTTTGTGATGTAAGATAAGGTAATTTATTCTTTTTTAAAAAATTTTAATGTGATCATCATCAGTAAAATTATTCAATAGAAGCAAATAGATATAGAACTCCATAGCAAATGATAATCTAAAAGTTTGAGCAATTAATGAAAAGTTGTAGAAATTGATCCCACATGCAAGAATCCTTTATGGTTATAATGAAAAGCTTAGAAGTTTTAGTGGAAAAACCTCAAGAAAGCATAGTGGGGATTAATTCAGTTGGTTATAATTCAACAAGATTAATTGTGCAACGAGTGACAAACCCTGTTCTCAATGCTGGAGGTATGGCAGTTTCATAAAACAAAACATCCCCTGCTCTCATGCAGCTCACTTCTGTATAGGTAAAGAGAGATCTGCACAGTTAATAAATAAAATACATAGTGTATCTGACGAACATAGGTGCTATGAAGAAAACTATAGCAGGGATGGGAGAAGAAGGCTCCAGCAGGGGTTGACCAAAGTGGTGAAGGGAAGAAACAAGTAATGAGATTAGGTGTTTGTCACTATTTTGTTTCATTCAGTGCTCTAAACTAATATGAAGCCAGGGGTGCCTGGGTGGCTCAGTCGGTCAAGCGTCGGACTCTTGATTTGGGCTTAGGTCATGATCTCAGGGTGGTGGGATCTACTTGCATGGGACTCCACACTCAGCGGGGAGTCTGCTTGAGATTCTCTCCCTCTCCCTCTGCCCCTCGCCACTCTCACATGCGTGCATGCACATGCTGTCTCTCAAATAAGTAAATCTTAAAAAAATAAAATAAACCTATATGAAGTATTAGAAATTTGGATTTTCATTCTTGCGTCAAAATATATTGAATGTGTATAAACACACATTTTTTGGTTATAACATACTATTGTGGTATTTTATACCAATTCTTAATGCAGTTGATTTTGTTAACCCTAGGGTATATGATAATTTCAAGACCGGAACATTTGTGCTTTATAAGAGTATGTCACGTGATTTTGAAGTCCATGTACGCCAGTGGGACTGTGGAAGTCTTCACTATCCTGTGTCATGTAACTGCGGTTTTGTTGCCAAAGAAGAAGGTGATGTAGTTACTTTCGATATGTGCAGTGGTCAGCTACATGAATCACAGCCATATTTATCTGTAAAGAGCCAAGATGTAACCAGCAATATCAAGATAAGTGAATCCTACTTAGGAAGAAAAGTCACAGTATGTATGATTTTTTACAACTTAGAAGTATTTTTCCTCTTTTTCCTACAGATTCTGGATTAAAGTCTGAACTTTTTTTCATCTCTATTAAGAACTGTCATTTTTTTAACATTAGTTTTTTCCCCCAAAATAGCTTCTTGATTAACACTGATCTTAGCACACACAAATAGACACAACATAGTTGAGACTTTGTCAAATCTAAGCAGCCTTATTTTAAGATTTCTATATGGTAACTTGGTGGGTTATTCCTACAAATTATTTTTGACAGTGCCTAATAAATGGTATGTTACACAGAGGTGAAATATATAATTAAGAATAAATATTCAGGAGTAGTTAGCCAGTTTTTGAAATAAGCACAGGTGGTTCTGCCTCAGGAATAGCCTGGTAGATACATGGACAAGATTAGAGATCATTAGTATTTTAAAATAATAGTTCATGTGTGTAAGCTAACTATTTATATTATAATGTCATCTCCCTTTCATCTTCCAAAAAAGTAAATTCCAGGTGAATAAGATTCAAATTTAAATGAAAGTAGTAGAAAATATAGGTGAATATTTTTATAACATTGAGGTGAACAAGAATTTTTTTTTTTTTTTAAGATTTTATTTATTTATTTGACAGAGACAGTGAGAGAGGGAACACAAGCAGGGGGAGTGGGAGAGGAAGAAGCAGCCTTCCCACTGAGCAGGGAGCCGGATGTGGGACTCGATCCCAGGTCCTGGGATCATGACCTGAGCCGAAGGCAGACGCTTAACGACTGAGCCACGCAGGCGCCCCGAGGTGAACAAGAGTTTTTAAACATAATGTTATATATTTGAGTTCCATCCTCAAAACCTGAAATGCAGATGAAAAATTGAGAAAATATTTTCTACATATAAAACATAGTTAATATAGAAAACACTCCTTTTAAAAAATATTTTTCTATCTTCCCATCTTTTTTTTTTTTTAGAAACTCTACACCCAACGTGGATCTTGAACTCATAACCCCAAGATCAAGAGTCTCATGGCGGGCGCCTGGGTGGCTCAGTTGGTTAAGCGACTGCCTTCAGCTCAGGTCATGATCCCACGGTCCTGGGATCGAGTCCCGCATAGGGCTCCCTGCTCGGCGGGAAGCCTGCTTCTCCCTCTCCCACTCCCTCTGCTTGTGTTCCCTCTCTCGTTGTGTCTCTCTCTGTCAAATAAATAAATAAAATCTTTAAAAAAAAAAGAGTCTCATGGCGCTACTGACTGAGCCAGCCAGGTGTCCCTAGAAAACACTCTTATACATCACTAATGATCAGCACTCCAGTTAAAATGAGCAAATAATATACACAGGCAATTCACAAAAGAAAACTGATAAATATATCCAAAAGCATAAATAACCAACAAAAATATGAAAACCACAACCTCATTAGTAAAGAAATGTGGATTAAATATCTCATACAATATTGGCAAGAATAGAAATAGTAGCTATAGTCTTTCCAAAGGACATATATATATTATGCATGCACACAACCTATCCATGTCATTTTTCAAGAAATTTTACTTCTGAAAATTTACCATAATAAATAAGTATATGCAGAGTCCCAGTGGTGTTCATTGCATCTCTCCTTCTAAGACGGAAAAGTTATAATTAATCAATGATGAATCTTTTAGTTTAACCAAAACCCTAAGTAGAGTGAGGTCACATAATAGAACACTTTCTAGTCACGAAAATTTTGGAGTCGATTGTATTTATTGACAGGCAAAGATATTAATGACATATAGGAACAGTTTCAGAAGAATCTGCACCAAAATCTTAACATTACCTAGATTAGATTGAATAGTAATGTAAGGTTTGCTTGCTTTTAAAATAATTTTCGGGAATAAGCACTTACCATTTTTATAAAGAGAAAAAAGTGCCATTTCTAAATTTAAAAAATTTAAGGGGAAAGAGTCAGAGGAACAAACATAGGTGGTGTATCTTCAGTGATTTTTAGGAGAGTTTCTCAACATTCAAGTCCCTGATCTGGGAGCAGCCATAGGCCTGTGAGGAGCATCACAGATGATACAGGCTATTAAGATAATTCAACAAAACCCTTGCTCTCATTCCGACTCCCCAGGTATGCCCTGGTTGTAATTTGGCTTCTGATTCTATTTGCCTACCGTGAAGATGAGAATGTTGATTAGCCACAGGAATATGTATTCCTCTGGAATTATATTTATCTGTGTAAATTAATTACTTGGCAGTCTAGTTCCATATTACCAGAGACATTACTTGGTAAACATAACCTTCAACATTTATAGCTGTTTGATTGTATAAAATACCTCACCTTAGTTTAAAAAGAAAGGGCCTTGAACAATATTTTGCAATAAAAGAATATGGAGATCAAATTTCAAGTCAGCAAAGTGCAAAAGCCATTGGTTTGACACAGCATTAAAAGGAAGATTGTAGTCTGAAGAAAATCGGTATTCTGTTCTATCTTTATATTGAAGAAATAAAGGAATTTGTTTCTTCTCAAATAATAGTTTTTTTCTTAATCCATATAGAATATTGTTTAAGCATCTTTTATTTCTGTATTTCAGATCTGGTTTTCTTCTGGAGCATTTATCCGTGCTGATCTTAGTGAATGGGGCATGAGTTTAACAATCAGAGCCCCTAGCCTAGACTACAGAAACACTTTGGGACTTTGTGGCACCTTTGATGAAAACCCAGAAAATGATTTCCATAATAAATATGGGATAAAAATTGATCTAACTTTTGATAATTGTGTTGCTTTTATTAATGAATGGAGGTAAGAACTCTTCATTTGTTATTGTATTGAGTGGTGACACAGTACTCTCTTTTTTTGCAACACATGACAGAGAAAAAATGTTCTTGTGCAATTTACCATTCTTTTCTGTTTTTCACCTGGAAGGATTTTGCCAGGGAAAAGCATGTTTGACACAATGCCAGTTTCTCCATTGTCACCTGGAAAACTATCCTATTGTAGCTGCTCGTTGGACACGAATTCATTATATCCTTCTGATCATCTGGACAGTACTTCTCAACAAGAGATTGTTTCAGGTTGCAAAGATCTCAAACATGTCAAATTCTCTTTCTTGATACCAGAACTAGATGTCACCTCTGAGTATATTAATTCAGAAGCTCTTATCAGAGGGATAAGTGAGTATACATCTGGAGAAGAAAATAATTTGAACTTCCTTCCTCAAGAAAAAAAGCATGTGAACCTGACCAAACTGGAATTACATTTACAAAAACATCCTGGAAATGAAAAACAAGAGGCACTGAAAACTTTGGACAATGGGAGACATACACGGGACCACAGTAGCAACAGCCAGGAGATGAGGCGGGATCCACAAAACAGAAGGAAATGGCAAAACTCTTATGAGTTTCTTCCTATGTTTGCTTTCCAAAGTCTCAGCCATAGTGATCTAGAAGAATTTACTTATTTCTTCCCTGAGGACCATACTGAGGATGTCCACCAGGAGTTTGTCCCTACGTGGCCCACAGCCTCTGGTCTCACTGAACACGGCACTTTGGCACTGTGCCAGCAGGCTCTTGCCAACTCAAGCATTGGAAGACATTGTCTTGCCTTTCTGGGCAACAGCCTAGAGTGTGCTGTAGATATGTGTGTTAAAGATGTTCTCCTAAAAGATGATCTTAGCTGGGCAGAAGCCGGTGTGGCTCTTTTAGAAAATGAATGTGAAAAGAGAATTTTGGAAGAGAGGAAATATAACACAGAAGAATACGGCAAGTCAATTGAAGACATTCTCTCGGTCCTCAAATGCCCCAATTTATGCAGTGGCAATGGGCAGTGTATGGAATGGGGATGCGCATGCTCCCCGGGCTTCAGTTCCTATGACTGCAGTGATTCACACGGTGAGTGAGTACTCTCCAGCTTTGATATTGTATATGCTATTGGATTATGGAAAGTCTTTGTTCTTTTTTACCTTCGGTATCTTAACAGGGTTTATTCAGATTACATAGGGAAAAGAACCCAAATTAATTAATCGATACAGTAATAATTCTTCCAAAGCATCTCATCTTAGCTGTGGTACCTATAATAGCCTATAAGGCACAACATAAGCCTATAAGGCATGCAGTATCTCTTCAGACTCATCCCCTACAACTAAAACCCTCACTCATTTCACTTTCCCCACTCTGGTTTTTGTAATGCCAAGTTCTCTTTTTTTTTTTTTTTTTATTCTTATGTTAATCCCCATACATTACATCATTAGTTCTAGATGAAGTGTTCCATGATTCATTGTTCGTGCACAACACCCAGTGCTCCATGCAGAACGTGCCCTCCTCAATATCCACCACCAGGCCAACCCATCCTCCCACCCGTAATGCCAAGTTCTCTTGACCTCAGGGTCTTTGCATGCAGCTTGTCCCTCCAGTTGTAGAGATTAATTGTTTTTTCTAGAACTCAAATTTAGTATTTTTTGGATACTGTGTTTCTAATATTCTGCTAATGATACCAGTTTGCTTATTTTTTTCTCTATTTCACCTACATAGTGCAAAATATTATATTTCAATATATAAGAGAAAGAAATTTTTAAAAATCAATTTGAGGGGCACCTGGGCAGCTCATTCATTCGGTTAAACATCTGCCTTCAGCTCAGGTCATGATCTCAGGGTTGTGGTATCCAGTCCCGCATGGGGCTCCCTGCTCAGCGGGGAGCCTGCTTCTCCCTCTCCCTCTGCCCACTCCCCTGCTCTTGTTCTCTCAAATAAATACACAAAATCTTTTTTAAAAAATCAATTTCATTTCATTAGCCATTAAACCAGTAACTCCTGATTTTCCTTCTACCCCCACCATCCCGCCCTTTTCCATCTGCAGACTTTGCCATCTCAGTAAATGCAAACTTCACTCCACTAACTTTTCACGTTAAAAACTTGGTAGTCATTTTGACTTTTCCTCTTTTTTTCATGCCTCAGGCTTAATCCATTAGTAGCAAATCCATCTGTAGCCTCAATGACTTTCACCTCTTTCCCTGCTACAACTTAGGCCATGCCACCATTATCTCTCACCTGGATTATTATAGATTCTCTCAAAGTTTATTCTCCATGCAGCAGCTAAAGTGATCCCTCTGAAATGATAGTGATATCATAGGATTCCTGCTTAAATCCCTCTAATGACTCCCCCATCTTCTTCCAAAGTAAAATTTACATTCCCTACCACAGCCTAGAAGACTCTATGCAATCGGAACCTCCTCTCTCACCGAATTTCATCCATCATTCTCTCCCCAGTGGTCTTAAGTGGCTACTTTGCTGTTTCTCAGAGAGGCCAAACCTTTGCATTTACTTTCCCTCCCACTGGAGCGTTCTTTCAACACATATCTTCGTGATGGACTTCCTTCTCTTCTCTCTTCAAATGTCATTATTATCAGAGACATCTTCCATGGTCATTCAAAATAAAGTAGTTTTCTTCACACAACCCCATAGTCTTTATGTCCCTTCATATAGTTAATATATATGTTTTCTCCATAGTCTTGAAAACATTTATGTGATACACTTTATATTTATTTTTCACTTGTTTATTTTTTGTTCTCCTGTATTAGAATGTAAGTTATATGAAGGCGGGAACTTTATTCTGTTCATATATCCCCAGTACCTACAGTAACACCAGAAAAATAGAAATTGCTCAGTAAACATTTGTTGAATATGAAAGAGTAAACTAACAAATATATATTTTTAATTTTCACAAACATTTTTAGGGTTCTGAGTACACAATTTATGATCTTATATTCCACTGCTGGTGAAGTTATATTCACTTAGATTTTGCCAATACTTAGAGGACTCAATTACTTTTATATGCTGCATTTATCTATTTTGACAGCCAGATCTTGCTGATACAGATAATGTGTTATCTTACCAAGACCAAAATCAGAGATATGACTATATGAAGGTCAGTTAACTCTGACTGTTAGGAGAATTTTTTTCTCCAGTGATTGAGAATGCACCTAAGATTGTGGTGGCATGTAGGATAGCAATAATACATAAAAACATTAATAACAGTTTCATGAAATTTTGATAACTCTTCTACTGTTTAAAATTTTTTAAAAATTTTAATACATCACATTGCTAATTACACTATTTTATTACAAAAGTATTTTTGCTATAATCCATTTCTAGAGCACAAACCAAAATGGCAAGAACAAAACACAGGCCATTGTAGTAGTAATTTCTTAATACTTGTAAATAATTGGTATTAAACATTATTAAAACATTAATTAAACCTGTATATTTAGGTATTGGTAGTATCTTTAATGCTATTTTTATTGGTTTGATGGTGGGTCACACTTAACACCAGATTACTCTTAATATTTAATAGTTTAGGGGCATGTGAGTGGCTCAGTCGGTTAAGTGTCTGTCTTTGGCTCAGGTCATGATCCCAGGGTCCTGGGATGGAGCCCCATATCGGGCTTCCTGCTCAGAGGGAAGCCTGCTTCTCCCTCTCCCCGCCGCTCCCCCCCTGCTTGTACTCTCTCTCTCTCTGTCAAATAAATAAAGAAAATCTTTAAAATATATATATATTTAATAGTTTAGTTAATTCACTAATATTTGGAGTAGACTTCAAAATATTATTTTCCATATGCTTTTAATTTGGACCTTGAAAATAATTAGTTTATTTTTCTGGAATTAAAGAAAATTTGTCCATTTTGTTTTATCATTCTTTCCAAAGACAAGGCTCCTGAAATTATAGAACTTGAGAATGCTGGATTCTGTAATATTCAAAAATATAATTGTATGACAGTGAGAGTGTTTGGTCAAGACTTCAAAGAATCACCTTCAATTAAATGTGAAGTTACTAAACTGCAGGTATGTTAATTTTAGTGTTGAAAAACAATTAAGTTTATGAGTTATTCAGATTACTTTTATCTTGGATTAATTTGGTCTATCAATTAGTAACATAATCCCAAAGGATGTCATATCCACAGAGAGCTCAATAGGAAGTTGGTTAAGTTGCTTTACCTTAAAGCTTCTTCCTTATTTGTTAATTCTATTAAACTATTTTATATAATTTTTATTGTAGCATTGGTTCACTATTCCAGTCATAGTAAAAAATTAAAATAATATTAAGCTTGATATGCAAGCTTCTGTATTTATTGAAATGTAAAACTACAGAGAATGGAGATCATTTTTATCCAAGACAGTCTGTATGACTTATGGGGCACAGGGATATGAACAATTCCCTTTACAAAACAAAAAGTTGAAGATTAATTGCACTTATCCTTTATATTTCCCTTACTACGGATATCAAACAGAAAATAGTGTTTTTCTTTCTTCAGGCCACAAACAACAGACAAGATCACTCAGTTTGAACACTGGCATATCAAACAAATTATACCTTATTTTGATGATTATTTATATGGTCTTCCTTTTCTTTATTCAAGTGGATTTTTATTTTAAGGACCATTCTTTGAAAGTACCTTTGGATAACCTAAAACTTAAAACAGTAAATGACATTTTAGCTTTCTTTTTATTTTTTCTCTAAATTGTTAAAGCCAAATGTGATCCTGAGATTGAGAATTTAAGGAGGAAATAACTTTTTTTTTAATAAAGATTTTATTTATTTGACAAAGAGAGACATAGTGAGAGAGGGATCACAAGCAGGGGGAGTGGGAGAGAGAGAAGCAGCCTTGCTGAGCAGGGAGCCCGATGTGGAGCTCGATCCCAGGACCCTGGGATTATGACCTGAACCGAAGGCAGATGCCCAACGACTGAGCCACCCAGGCGCCCCAGGAAATAACTTTTGTATCTGTCTTTATCAAATCATTGTACAAGAAAAGTATGCTTATTTCTAGATTTTTTTGAATAAAGCTTTTCTAAATAACCATGAAATATTTTAATCCCAATGAAATAATAATTCACACAATAGAAAATGGAATATATGTATAATTTTATTCACTTCAGTATTACTCAAGAGAGTAGACATTATATTGTTGGTGGCAGAATAAATCATACATCACACTACCATTAAGTGATTTGCCAAGAGATTTGAGAAAGTACACTTTGTACTTACTTTCAGATATATTATTTGCTGTGATATTTATTCTCATACTACTTTCTTTTTTTAAACATCTGATAAAGAGCACACTATGAAATTCTCTAAGACACTATACGGAACTACAGAAAGAAACATCTATGTTCACTAGACCAAACCAAACTTACTTAGATTAGCTATTTTATTTAGCATCCTGTTCAGGATATTATTTGTAATACAATTTGGTTTATTTTTAAATATTTGTCTTCCACTTTGAATTTCCTCCACACTCTGGTTGATTTTAGTTATTTACTTATTTGGAAAGTATACAAAATATTATCATGGTTCTGAGAGTTTGCGCCATACAAAAAGTACACACAGAGAAATGTTACTGTCTTATCATCTCTACCACTCTGTCCATTACCCTTTCTTTCCATCCCATTTCCATCTATCCCCTGAAGGTATCCACTCTCATTATTTTGTGGTTTATCCTTACTGCATTGCTTTTGCACAAAGGAACAGATAAATCCCTTCTTTTTGCATGAGAGGTAGCATTTTATAGATGTTCTTTTCTACTTTTGCAGCAGTAATTTTAAACAAGTTTTTATCTAGAGATGCAAGCACCCAATCCTTTCTTTCACTCCCTCCCCCCCTTGAAAAGCAGCCAGGACTTTACAGAATCCAGTTTTTAAATACTTACAGGATTAAATCCAAGTAGCTATCCTAGAAATGAATGGCCCTTTGTGATCCAGCTCTTGTCTATTTTTGCAAACTTGAACCTCCTGCATATGCTCTACTAAAATCTCATGCTGTCTCATGCATCCCTGCCTCTCACTTGCTATTCCCTCCAGCCAAGGCTGAAGAGCACTCTCTCCATTTCTCCTCCCAGTGTCCAAATGGCAGTCTCCTCTTCTACTTTCAGGAAGAGAAACCTCCTTTGACTGTGCTACAGTCAATGGCTTCTTTCTCTCTCATTAAGCTTTATTTGAATCTTGGTTACAGCAATCTTAAAATTATTTTATTTGTCTGTCTTTCCCTCTGTGATCTTTTTTCATCAGAAAGTCCTCAGCACATATAGATACAAAATACTGATGGATGGAAAATAAACAGAACTCTGTTTGTTTCTTATTTGGGGTAGGCTTCTCCAGACATGGGTGGAAATGATTTCTGTATTTCCAGTCATTGGCTGGAGTCTCGTTTCAATACACAAAGCCCTGTATCCATTTAAGAGTCCATATCATGACTACCCCGAGACATCGTTGTCAAGACCCCCTTCACTAGAGGGGGACCACTGAACTGACCTATCTGTTGGGCCAGACTGTACACATCCCCTTAAACATGGAGATTTCTACTGTGGCCTACTCTTCAGTCATCAAATCTTAAAAGATAGTTTCTGCTGGCCACAGATGAGCATGAGCCTTCTTTCCCATCTCCTACTGACCCTCTCAGTATGGAAGCATCAGCATTCTCCTTGCCCATTTCTGAGCAGTTGAAAGCATTCTACAGTCATAAATTTTAAAAAAATGTAAATCAAAATATTGTTAATAAAATATGTCCTTTTAGTTTTCTATGTAGTTACCAGTACCCAGAAAATTATTCTGGCTTTTCCTCTTTAGACACCAATGCATTTTAATACTGAAAAATAATCCTTTAAGTGTAGGTTAAGTATGATATGCCACTGAGTTATTTAATAGAGTAAACTGGTTAGAATTAAGTTTTAAGTTACATAAATTCATTTGAACTACCTTGAGAAAAATGATATTTACTATGAGGACAGTACTTTTTTTACAGAATCAGGATTAGAATGTAATTGCTGAATTCTCAGGAATAACTTGAACTTGGGACTTGAACACATGAAAACTCAATATGTCTGCGTTTTGTATGTGTGTGTGTTTATCTGTCTCAGTTCTTTTTTTCTCTGGGCTTCATTTTTCCCTTTTACTAGATACTAGCTTTCTCCACATAGTGAAAAACATAACCACCCACAGCTCCATAACTTTGTGTCTTTCACCTCAAGCCACCAGAAGCAGACTGGCCCAATGTGCTCTCTGGTACAAAGTTAAAATAGTCCAAGTAATCAAAGCATGGGCTCAGCTTAGATCCACCTCCGGAGCAGTTACCTGTAGTCAGGAAGATGGGTCATATAAGAACATAAGAGGGTTCTGGGAACCAGACAGAAAGAGCAATTTCAAGTTGAAGTAGAAGGTTAGGAGCTTTTGCAGGAGAAATGAGTTTCTGGGCAGGAAATCAATCCACTGTGTGTCAACTACATAGTCAAATGTGTTTCCTCTTGTTATAAAACTCATTACGTAGTGATTCATTATATATGACCAATATTGGTAACTTCTTTGATTTGAACCCACAAGGAATGCATGAGGCATTAGAAGCAGTTTACATCAAATTAAAGTGTGTATGGTTTTCATTATTCTGGATAAAATTCAATGTTGATGTCACTTTTATTACTTCATTATATATTCCATATACCAGGCATGCATTTTAAAATTTATATTTTGATGATATGTAATTTACTAGCAAGGAATTTCCATAATTAGACAGAAGTTAATTGCCTTCTCATTATGCCTTTAGTATAATAACAGTAAATGGGTCCTTGGAAAAGCTGTCTACACGCATCCTGTTTTTGAAAATAGCAGAACTATTGATTGTCAGCTGCCCCCTGATGTTCAACAGTCTGATACCATGAATCTGATGGGGGAGAAACCAATCGTAAAGTGGCAATTAAAGGTAAAAAAGAAAAGATATTCTCATATTTATAAACAAAGTAAATATTTATATATTAAAATTTCATAATGAATTTATGAAGCTACATTTAGAATAAATTATCTTATTATAAAACTACATCTTATAGGTATCTAATGATGGTTATAGGTTCAGTAATCCCAAAATAATGATCATATATGATGGAGCTTGTCAAGTTTGTGGTCTCAATGGGAAGGACTTGTGCACTATAAAGGTATGTAATTTTTTTCACTTATTTTCACATTTACATGCTAGGTATTTTCATTTCCCATGCTATTGGCATATTAATGGCATATTAGTTTTTTCACCTTCATATCAGAAATACTAATAGAGAAAAGCCTTTCTCAAGTTTATATACAGTTAACTAAAATTGTTACTCCCCCTTAACTCTTGTTGAAATGGCAAGGAGAAGGTTTCTACCTTTTATGTTTTGAAGTGGCAGGTTGTTTATTTCTTAAAAAAAAAATTCAAAAAAGGAGGTTCAGATTGATTTTTAACTCCTACATATATTCCTTTTTAAATAGTAATAATGATTTTCCAGTAACATGTCAGTTACCACAGTTACCCAATCTTCTTTGTAACTAGGGGCATGCATTTGGATGGAGCTTGTAAAATATATAAGGCTAGCACTTTTACAAGGAGGGTTTTTTTTTGTTTTTGTTGTTGTTTTTTGTTTTTTTTTTGTGGCAACTGAGTTCATTAATTCTTGCAAATCTCTACCACTGGAGGGATTACAGAACGGCCCAACCAGGGCTGAATCCTCACAGCCACACCTTCTTCATTGAGGTCCAGTCTGTTGGGTTTATCAACAGATCTTTCTCACATGCCAGTTGGCTGACGTAATAGATACCATGGATCTAATATTACTTGGCTCTTCAAAACTGAGAAGAATATCAAATAGTATTTTTGTAGATAAAAATTTAAAGTATTATTATTTTAAATTTTAAATCTTTCTTCCTTTGAGATTAGCAATTAGATCATATCAATAAGAAGTTTCTGTTTCTGAAATGTTGTTTGATTTTTACTTTCCCCTAAATATTCCATTTCCACATGTCTTACATTAAGTACTTTTAAAATGTTATAATTCACAATTGTTTTATATTGTTGGGGCTATTCTGTTCTTATTTTTGTGTCCTGTCCTAAGTGACATTAGAGGAGATTTGGGCAAAGTTTATATATGCTGAACAAAATTTGGTCTTCTTCCCAGGTTGAAAATGATTACTACATTTAACATTATTGCTTTGCAGATCAACCTCTCTTTCTACTATTTTGTATAAGGATAACCATTGTCAAGTATGGATAATTACATCATGGTTCTGGTTCAGTTTCACCATGTTCAGAGGACATAGTGGTCTCCTAGAGCAAGGGAAAATAGCTACAAACTAATGTGTTTCTGTAAGATGAGCAGGGGAAAAATTGTTTCATGTCTTTATTAATAGAGTATTTCCAGCCTGAGTTAGCAGTAAAACAAAACAAAACAAACAAACAAAAAAGAAGAAAAGACAGGTTTTGTTCCATGTTATTTATAAGCTATAATTCTACACAGAGATAAAGCTGTATGTATTTTCTTATTCCCTCCATATTGGTCAGTTCCACAGGCATTTACACAAAAAGGAAATGATCTGTTTTCTAACATACATTTATGATTAGGACGCATGAAGAAATGTTTCCTAACCAAAACAGATTTATAATATGCTTTCACTGGAATCACCAACATATATGGTGCTAGCTTTCTATATACATTTTTTTCCTAAACACTAACTATAACGACATCTTAATTGTTTCTCTCTTTTTAAAATTTCTGTTAGGAAAATGTTTGCATTATTGATGGACTCTGCTACATTGAAGGAGAGAAAAATACTACCAGCCCTTGTTTGATTTGTAGACCAAAAATTTCAAAATTTACTTGGTCATTTTTAGAAAGTAAGTTAGTCTTTATTAATCCAAATATTTTCTCTACAAGATATTTTTAAGTGATTTTAAACCATGAGTTACATAAAAGATGAACACTGTGTTTAATTTAGTATCTTTCCTAACTGCATGATCTACTTTGCTTGAATATAATATAAGATGAAATGTTATTTTATGTAATTTCTACAATTATACTACAATAGGGTATGGGATTTTCACTTTAATATTTGTTACTGAAAGCAAATGTGAATTATTAATGGAAGAAATGGGAATGGTTAATTCAGTTACACACAGTTTGTACAAGTCAAATAGCTACTAACAAAATGGGCTCTCAAGTACTATGTAAGTACATAAAATGTCCATTAGTAAAGGTTGGTGGATGGAAAGAGAATATTACTTTGAGACCAAAGCTCTATATCCTATTCTTAGCCTTACTTCTTTTTAGTTTTGTGACAAGACATTTAGCTATTTAAATTCCAGAGGCCATGCATTCATCACCTGTTAAGTAAGATTATGTGGACTCAGTAATCTATTAAGAGTCTTCCAGCCCGGGCGCCTGGGTGGCTCAGTTGGTTGGGCGACTGCCTTCGGCTCAGGTCATGGTCCTGGAGTCCCGGGATCGAGTCCCGCATCGGGCTCCCTGCTCAGCGGGGGGTCTGCTTCTCCCTCTGCCCTCTTCCCTCTCGTGCTCTCTGCCTCTCATTCTCTCTCAAATAAATAAATAAAATCTTTAAAAAAAAAAGAGTCTTCCAGCCCCAGTATTCTGTGACTCCTTGAATATAATAGTGGTCCAGATAATGTCTGGATACTTAGTCCCACCTGAAAAAAACACCCTACATCATAGTCATGTACCATCTAATTTTTTCACTTCCTTAAGTACAGCTATGTGTAATTCCACATAGATTTTCTTCATTCTCTTTCCTCAGTCAAAAGACCAGGCATCATAAAATACAACAAGATGTAATTATTCCCTGCCCCCATCCCCATGTAATTTTATCTGAGTCATAAAACCTTGTATTTATACTGTGCTTTGTAACATCACTATATATATTACTGTATATACAAATTTCATGACTGTGTTAAACCATTTGTCAGATGATTTATTGCTCAGGTGCAAGACTCATGGGGGTGTTATGGGAAAACAATGAAAATTTGGAGAAGAATTTAGTGCAGGAGACAAGGGAAACACACTATAACTTCTGAATTGATGTCTATGTTTTTAATGGCTTGGGTATAACTGACTCATCATAGATTTACAGTGTTCAAGGATACACGGGGTCTGGAAATACCATCTGTCCCAAGTTTCTCATATTGAGGGGTGAGGAAATTAAAATCAGTAAATTGTATAAAGATATATGAGGGCAGAACGGGAGCCAGGACTACATTCTCTTGGCATCAGTGCTTTGTTGATGCAAGCGGAGTGTGTTTGTGCCCAGTGCAGTGAAAAAGGCTGTTCTTTCTATCTGTTAAGCCAGTTGGCAAGGAAGGGGGACATTTTTTAATGTGACAATATAAAAAGATGTTTTAAAGCATTACTTGAGCACAAAGGGAGCCCTCTCTGTCCTCTGAAATAACCAGCATTCCAGCAAGTGAGTTTGGCAGCAGGGAAGACCTCTGAGGAGCAGAGGATTGCCGTGACTCTATGGACCCCAGTTACAACTGGGGAGACAGGTACAGTGAGGAAAAGTCAGGGGAGTCAAATGAACAGTCCAGTCATGGAGAATAAAGGAGAAATAAAGAAAAAAAGTGTCGAGGAGGAAAGTAAAGCTGGAAAGGGTAGAGGACGAAGAAGAGAGAGTGAAAGAGTAAGCAGTTGAGTTGGTCAACATCGAGAAGTAATTTCAGATAGGAAAGGAGAGGCATTCAGTTTGGGGAATGCAAATGTGTTTATGTATTTTATGCTCTGTTCAAAGTGCTTTTTACACTCTCAAAGTAGCAAAGTTTCAAGTCTTGCACCTGTCAGTTACTTTTACATTTTCTAAGAATGCAACTGAATTTATTCTGAATGTAAAAAAAAAAAAAAAAGAGCCAAGGTAGGTAATGGAAGTGTTAGCAGAGTTTGAACTTCATCAGAATGTTCCCGTGGGCGTTCTCGGTCGTTCTCGGTATCATACTTTTCCTTTTTTTTTTTTTCCCTACACAAGTACAAAGTAAATGTTTTCTCTGTGGCAGACAACCAACCCCCAGTGATTCAAATACCTCAAGACAAATTACAGACATTTTTGGGGGAGAACTTTGTGTACCAGTTCACGGCCTTGGATCCCGAAGGTTCTGACATCCATTTTGCCTTGGACTCAGGTCCTGAGGGAGCAAATGTTTCCTCTACAGGACTTCTTACATGGAAAACAGAGTCCCAAACTCCACAGCAATTCACTTTACGTTTTAACGACGACTGCAGTGCTGAGACGAGAGTCACAATTATGGTAATATTTATCATTACATAAATGCCACTGAATTAATTAGCAATATTGGTATCTATTTTAAACTTGAAATATAATTCTTAATTTGTAAGGAGGAACTAAATTATTCAACATTTCATGGAAAACTAAACTGCCAAAATGCTGTTTTTGTCAGAATTTAAAATCTTAGGGAGAATCTCAAGTGTAGAGCACGGAGCTAAATGACTAATTCCTAGGTCATTTTCGCCTGTACTTAACTATGATAAGGCTAAAGAATGCATTCATGTCTGCCTCTCTGAAAGACCTATGCTCAACCTAAGATTGATAATTATACCCTTTTCCTTCAAGTAAAGTCGTTTTTTATTGACCATTCTTTTGATATTATCAGTCCTGAGCTATTAATACTATTTTTTGTGCACTGTATTCACTCGACATTTGGGACACACTCATACAGAAGTAATGGTATGAAGTGCAATTGTGTACTATGTCATGTTAACCACATAATTCAAATGACTGTTTACTCTCTGTATTTTGGGATAACTCAGGTGACTGACAAACTGCTTTACACCTTACGGATTTTTTGTGCTGCATGCATTATAGAAATTGATTGATCATCTTGTAACATTTTTAAAAATTATCCCCAGCATTTATATTTTGGCTGTGCTCTTGAAAGTTGGCATAATTACTTTATTAAATCTTTTAAAATACTCTTTTACATTAAATATATATATATATATATTTTTTTTTTTTGCAAAACTTGTGATCTGCTCTTCCTTGCACATAAACATACATGCCTATCACAATTTCTGGGGCATAAACTGACGCTAATTTTATTGAAAAGTAAGGCATTTACTTTTTGTTTCTTTTGGAGGTGACTGTGAAGTCTTGTGATTGCTTGAATGGTGGATCATGTGTGTCAGATAGGAAATTCCCTCCAGGAAGTGGAATGTACCTGTGCGTCTGCCTGCCTGGCTTTCAGGGGGGTCTCTGTGAAGTGAATGTCACTGAGTGCCATGCAAACCCCTGTGGCCTTGGCAGATGTATTAGTGGATTTCCCAGTTATTCTTGTGTATGTCCGCCTGAACTCAAAGGTAAGTTTTGGTTCTTCACGAATGAAATTAGTATGTGAACAGATGAAAGGAGAGTTCTTTGGCTTTCCAAGTAATCTACAGATTACTTAAGCAAGTGTATGGTCCTAAAGATTTTAATATACATTTAAAAAGCCTAGTAAGTCATCACAAATATATTTGCTACCCATATCCTTTTATTATGGTATATTACTTACATATACTCTTACAATTTTGCCCATTTTTATAATTTTAATGGCAATATTCTATGTCTATATTGTATTTTGCAGGTTCCTAAACATTTCTGTCTAAATTTGGTAGGTAGAAATATATTTAAATGTGTTCTATTGAAATATAATATGGAATAATGAAGAAATTTGCCATGGGAAATGTAAAAATTATCATTTAAGAAAGGTTGATAATTCATTCACTTAAAAAGATCATGATATAAAGTTAGAGTTGAAATCAAATGGAATTTGCTAACTCATTAATTATCCTAAAATATCTGATTCTAGAAACCTCAACTAAGTATATGAATGACAACTTTTAATTTCCAAAGGCTTTTTATAAGTCGTACCAATATTTCCTCCAATTTAAATAGATATAAATGTTAAATAAGTAAATATGCAATTACTGAGCTGATATGTTTTCCTTGAAGGCATCTATTTTAACATTATAATGGAACTAGGCAGGATATTTAGGTGTCTTCTAATTCTCTCGGCATTTTAAAATAAAAATTTTAGGGGCACCTGGGTGGCTCAGTCAGTTAAGTGTGCGACTATTGATTTCAGCTCAGGTCATGATCTCAGGGTCTTGAGATAGAACCCCGCATAGGCTCTGGGCTCCGCGAGGAGTAGGCTTGTCCTTCTCCCTCCCCTTCTGCCCCTCCTCCTGCTCAGTCTCTCAAATAAATAAATAAAATCTTAAAATAAAATAAAATAAAAAATTTTATCATTTGGGACTGTTGTGCTACAGACTAAAGTTGAAAGAATTCAAATGTTGATTGTTTCATGGATTTTACTCTAATGAGTAAATGACTGAATATATTCATTCAAATAAGTTTTTACACATTTCAGGGAGCAACACGATCTCAAAAAATTTTACTGAGGAAAGACTAACTTTTCCTAGCACGCTATAAAATTTTCATGGATTTTCACAGCTAATGCAATAACTGCACTAAGTTGTCCTTAAACTGAGCAGGCAACCATTCTCATAACTTTTTTAAAATTTCCTGAGTTTTTTTAACAAAGTAAAAATTGCAGCTGTAATATGGTAAAATTTTTGCCTTAAAATATTAATGGCCTTTTTGTCTTCTTTTTTATAGGGAAAATCTTATGTACTTGCAGGGTCTTGTTTAATGTTAAATAGAATCTAATTAATGACTATGTTTAACTCTGTTGTAAATTTTAAAATTAGTATATTCCTCTTAATATATGACAGCTTTTCTGGAGTTTGTAGGACATACCTTAATGTAAAAGAAGTAAAGATATCTTTAGGAAAGTAAAAGTAAAATATCTTCAAGTAAAAGAAATCAAATAATGAGCACTTAAAGGGACATCTAATGTTTTTCAAAATAAATTATTTGAACTCTCGATCTATATTTTGTTTAGGCAAAAATTGCCAGGAAGATGTTGATGAGTGTGAATCCAGGCCTTGCTTTCCAGGAGCAGAGTGTCTCAATACCTTTGGCTCCTATCATTGTGGTGCATGTCCAAAAGGATTTTATGGTGATGGGAAAATATGTCATGGTAAAAGTCCCTATTTTCTGAAATGTTTTTTGCTCCATTTAATTAATCCAAATCTCACAGTTCTATTATCTCTTTACTCATGTATTCATTCAGTATATATTCGTTAAGTGTCATGCACTAAGCAGGATGTGGCGGGTGCAAAAGTAGATAATACATGCCTTCTGACCTAATAGGTTTGAGTGTAATACCGGGGGGTCTGACATGTAGTCACCATAGTTCAATATGGTGTTCTGTGCCTGTTGATAGAAGTGCCTAGAGAGAATAGTAGGAGTACTACACAGGGAATCACATCTACCTGGAGGGATAATGAAAAGTTTTAAAAAGCAAGTGTCATTACAGCTAACTCTGATGTATCCAGTCAAGAGAGAGAAAAGCTTTCTAGGCAGAAGAAACATCATGAACAAAGGTGGAGAGGCTTGTAACATCACAGAACACTTGGGCACTATGAATAATTAAGCATGCTTAAAATATAGAGGGTAAGAGGGACTGCTACAATGGTTAAAGCTAGAGACCTAGCCAGTGGCCAGATCACTGAGAAACCATGAGAAACATAATATGATTTACATCTGAGAAGTCTACTCGAGCAGTATGGAGGATGGACCACTTATGGGTAAGGAACTGTGCAAATCTGAAGGTGGGAAGAAAAGTAAGGCAATATTACAAATAAATAGGAAAGACGTGAAGATATTCTGACCTTGGATGAGGAGGTAGTGGTTGAAAAAAAACACTAAAGAAGCAAGTAGATGGTCTGTGGTCACTGATTGGGATTAGCATGGAGAGGGAAAGAGTATTACTAAGTTCCATGTGCTCGGTTTAGGCAAATGGGTGTGTAGAATTGGTATTTGCATTGCTATGCAGTAAATCGTGAGGATACAGGAGAAGGTGGCCAGGAAGAGATGCTCACCAGGAACCGAATGGGCCTGCATCTTGATCTTGAACTTGCTACCCTCCAGAATGGTAGGAAAATAAACTCCTGTTGTTTAGGACACTCAGTCTGTGGTATTTCATTATGGTAGGCTGAGCTGACTAAGACACACGACACACACGACATCTAAGGAAGAAGTGGTTTGGGAAGGGAAAGAATGAATTCAGTATGGATACATGGAGACTGAGGTGACTTCAAGTGGAGCTCAGGAGGGAAGATTAAGTGAAAGATACAGGGTCATCTGTCATGGATGAAATTGCCCAAAGAGAACACTAAGGGAAAGGAAGACAAAAATTGGAGGATATCAACCTTTTAAAAGCTTAAAAGAGAGAAGTTAATTATAGAAAACAGTATCAAAGAACCATATTTTGGTATCATTAAGTGAATAAGACTCCATTTTGATGAAAAATATGTCACTTTGTGCTTCAGATTGGAGTGGGCCAGTCTAGCACTAGAGGTAATAGATTTGAGGAGCATAGGGCAGGTTGGTAAGGGGAATTCCCTACTATCTCAGCCACTCACATTTCCCCCTCAATACCCCATTCCAAATACTCAACAGTATCACACCCTTCACTCCGTGCACTAAAGTGATCTAAGATCAGCCTTTTGCAAACAGAGACTCAGTCCCTGAATAAAACCTGTATCAAGTGGAACTTAAGAGGAAAGCAAGTTGAACCAAGTCCCATTACACATGCGTGATTAATAAGTTTCTTAACTCTGTCAGAGGTATCTGTGTTTTTAGGAAGATGCTTGTTAATACAAAATATTTTTTTTCTTGTTGGTATTGTATACTTATTTATGGCAGGCACCAGAGTCACTGACCATAAAAGTCAATACAGCACAGTTCTTATTTTTGAGGTTGCTAACTAGAAGAGGAAAGACACATGAGTCAGTATCAAGGACCAAACTCTGTGGGAGAACACAGATGGATGAAATTGGTTGGGTGTGTATGAGACTATAGGAACATCTGTTAGTCACATCGGGCTGCCATACCAGAATAACACAGGTAGGGTGACCTAAAAAACAGAAATTTGTTTCCTCAGAGTTCTGGAGGCTGGAAATTCAAGATCAAGGTGCCAACAGGGTTGGTTTCTGGCTTCTCTTCGTGGCTGACAGATGGCCCCCTTCTTACTGTGTCCTCACATATGCATCCTCCTCTTCTTAAAAGGACACTAGTCCTATTGGATTAGGGCCCCACTCATGACTTCATTTAACCTTAATTACCTTCTTAAAGGTAATACAGTCACATTTAGAGTTAGGGTTTTAACATAAATAAATTTGATGGGACACAAGTCAGTCCATAACCCAAGGATTTGCTGAAGAGGAGACATTTAAGCTAGCTCTGTAATCAAATTTGTGAAGAATTCAATCCAAGTGACATTTTTATTGTATGTTCTTATTCACAGTATTTTGGTTTTATAATAGTATAATCTGTTTTTCATGCATACATTACAGTTGAAACATAGTTTTTACATGAATCTACTACACATACTATGGTTCTTACAAGTTCTAATAAAAGTGAAACTAAGGAAGAGAATGGTAAAAATGCCATACAGAGAGAGAGGCGTGTTAAGTCAACAAATGGAAATGCTTCTAGTAAGTAATGGTCTTGCTAAAATTTAAGGATAAAATTTAATTTACCTCCCTTTTATTTTCCAGAAGACCAACATATTTATTCCTTAGGAATTTGTCTTTTCAGAAAGATCACCTAAGATAATACAATGCAGTTTACAAATTATTCTTTTTCTTGCTAATCCATTGACTCCTTTGGCTTATATTCTAGAAAAATGATGCATGTTGTATAATGAACAAATGATATTTAAGGTGATTCCAGAGAAGCTTATGATTGGAAGTGACCCTTTCAAAGTTATATTTTGTAACTCCCAGGTCATTCAACATCAACTCAAACCCTAAAAGTTACAAGAAGCTCATTATTTCATAAGGCATTTTCTTTTCTACAGTGCTGTCTTTATAACTCTTGATTTATTCAATTAATATTCTGATTGTCTTCACAAAGACCTTACACATTTTACATTAGCTTTCTTTATGCTTTTGCCTTTTGTAATATTAGCTATTCATCTTGCAAGATTACCACTGCACTTACTTATTTTGCAAGGTATCTTTGTCGATTACTGCAGTATAGGAAAGCTATCTGGATTTTGATTTTTTCATGTATCCAGTTGCCTTATTAAACACTCTTATTTACACTATTTTTATAGTTGATTCTCTTTCTTGGTTTTATAAATAGATAATACCTCTTGCCAATAGTGAGTCTGTCTCTTACTCTTATTTACTTTCTTATTATAATAATAATTATGATTTAGTCTGTATTTATGATATACCAGCACTGTAGACAAATATTATTTATATACTATCACATTCAATCCTCTCAATAGCTATAGACAGTAACTGTTATTATTTACATTTTACAGATGTTACTCATCTGTACAGAGGCATAGATGGGTTAGGTATTCTCTTCAGGTTTATAGAGTTTGTAAAGGAAGGGAGATTTCAACCTGAGCAGTCTGACTGCAGTCCCAGCTTTCAAATTTGGGCCTTCACTGTAATGGCCAGGACCTCCAGTGCAAAGTGTGTAGTCAGGGAATTGTTTCTTAATGGTCTTAATGGAAATTCTTCTCATGTTTCACCATTAAGTATGATATCAGGGTAGGTTTCTGCTAGAAACCCTTCATCCAGTTAAGGGATTTTCCTTCCATTTGTTGCTTTCTCAGAGTTCTCTTTAGTTTTAAATTAGAAGTGGTTTTTAAATTTTATCAAATGGTTTTTCAGCATCATTTATTACTTGCTATAATTTCTGTTAATCTTTCGTTAGGCTAACTTTTTCAGAATGTTTTCGACAGAAAATCGTATCAAATTACCTTTTAACATTATTTTATATTGCTTTCTTTATTAATATCATAACGAAATTATGTAATGTAATTCGATTAGTAGAGATACAAGTCTGTTTCATCCTAATGTAGTAGTCTGTAACTACACTGCTGCATTTGATTTGCTAGTAGTTCATTTAAAATGCTTATGTGTTTTCATAAATGATATTGACTATAGGATTATGCCACTTGATCAAATGTTTATAAAACTTTTCATCTCTTTCTGTGTATTGCAAGAGTTTTATAAAATATTCTTTCTTTGATAATTTGGTAATTTTTTTCCATTAGATCATCTGTCTTGGCATCATATCTGGAGGTGACTTTAGATTATTTTTGTTTCTTTCATTGCAGTTGTTGTATCAACTCCTCTATCTCTTCTTCAATTTAATTATTTATATTTTGCCAAAAAAATGTTTATCTCATTGAGATTTCAAATTCTTAGTTTAAAATTATATGTAGTATGTTGGTATAATTTAAAATTTGCTTCAGTTTATTATTATGAATTGCTCACATGTCAGGAATACAAATGCGAGCAATTTCCTTTGCTTTGAGCCTCAGTGTATAAAGTGGTCAATAAATGTTTGTTGGCTATTTCCAACTCCTAATAAAATTATTAGTTATTGTTCTTTAACTTTTACACTGTTTAACATTCTGTGCACCGGGCGCCTGGGTGGCTCAGATGGTTAAGCGTCTGCCTTCGGCTCAGGTCATGATCCCAGGGTCCTGGGATCGAGTCCCGCATCGGGCTCTCTGCTCCTTGGGAGGCTGCTTCTCCCTCTGCCTCTCTCTCTCTCTCTCTGTCTCTCATGAATAAATAAATAAAATCTTTAAAAAAAAAAAAACATTCTGTGCACCTGGTATATCCAAATAGACTATAAATTCCTTGAAGGCAGGAACTGTATGAGGACTTCTTACTACTGCACAGCTCCTAGTATAATGGTATAACTGTGATAGACATTAGATGAAGGAATGAATTACTTAATGTTAAATACTGTGGAAAGAGCAGAATATTAATAAATGTTATTGACTGACATTTCTTTTTCCTTTTTGGTTCTTTAGATATAAAATTTCAGCCACCATCAACAAATCATTCACCATCCGGTGCAAACTTTACCCACAGTCCTGCTACTATCAAAAAGTTCTTGGACACAACGAGCAACATCTCGCACTTCTCATTAGAATCAGTTACAACTCAAATGAATAATTCAAAGAACATTATTTCCCATCAGATATCAGGTTTTGAACAGGCGGATCATACTATCAGTACAAATCTCAGTCTGGAGGAATTGGGAGTGTCCATGAACAACCATAGTTTTTTAAGCATTAACCCAAACAGTTCCCATGGTGAAGTAAAAGATATTATACAGAGCACCATCCAAACAGAGGCAGGAGGGCATAATTCTCAAATTAACAGGTCTGCCCAAGGTTTCACACAGTATAAGGATGGGTTTGTCTCATCAGTTACCAGAGCCATCACTATTTTACCAGAAAAGCCTGGATGGACCAAAATATCAACTTGTGCTGAATCACCTTGTTTTCTTGGTGTTTCTTGTGTGCCAACCACAGATGGTCACTTCTGATGTGGACGCTGCCCGTTTGGATATTATGGAGATGGTATCAATTGCAGAGGTAGTATGAAAACTCTTCAGAAGATGCAAAGAAAACTATTTAGTTCACATTTAAGTAATTAAAAAGAGATGCTTTTCTACTTATTAATTTCTATTTACTCCATTTAGTTCACCAATTTCTATTCATTGTATTTATTTATTATTTGTGTATATCCTCTTCATACTTCAAAAAATAATTAACATGGGTGTTCCTGAGTTATTTTTAAAAATAATGTCAAATAGTACCATAACTATATAATATAAACAGGTTTTTGAGTACCTACTGTGTTCCAAGGTCTATAGAAACACTCTTTATCAATTATGTCATATAATCCATAAAGACTCCACATATTGAGTGTTATTTTTCTCATTATCCAGATAGGAAAGCAGAGCCTTAGAGGGCTAACTGACTTGCCTAGTATTAAGCAACTAAAGAGATAAAATAAGGATGTGAATAACATTGTGGTCTGGGTTCTTTTCAGCTCACAGTGGGCATTTAACACTTTAAATTACTAATTCTGGTGTATTCACTTATTTTCATAAACTAGGTTTCTCTGTAATTCCTCCAGCTCTTGAGAATAAAACAAGTTGGGCATCACTTTAATTTTGAAAGGAACGTTTACTTCTTTTCACGATTATCAGTATTGTTTTCTTTGATGCAGATCAAATTTTTGGTTTTGATACTGCAGAAGCTATTTCGTGTTGTTGGTATTTTGTTACTTTGTTTTGTGTTATTTGTGTTTTGATTTGAGATTAACTTAAGTAATAGAGCTATTGGGGTGTGTATTTCTTTGTTCTCAGTATTAGTGAGAGGTACTTTTTTCTGTTTGTTTGTTTTTGGTTTTTTTATAGGAATAGTGATAATAATAACTTTCAATACTTAAATGTTTGTAATATAAACTCCATATTATTAATAAACAAAACAATCACATACATTTCGGTTACCTCAGAAAAATGTTAAATGCCTAATAGAATATATCAGGTAGTTAAAGAAGCTTAAGGAATACGAACCTATAAATTTATGATGTGTTCCTAGCATCTTGCTCTTTGAAATTCTGATTATTCCTGCCATTTACCAGCATTTATCTGATTAGCATCTGAAACTTTATTGACCTCTGAAAAAAGACTGTAATCCCATTTATGACTAGCAGCCACCTTCAACATCAGGCTTTGGGAGTAATTACCACATATGGTACTTCTTTCTGACTGTATTAGTCATGTTTCTCAGTCATTCTAGTAGTAAAACAAATACAAGAGGAAAAAATAATTTTATAGATAAATGCAGTGGTTAGTGTTCAATAAGCAGCCTCAAAATTTTCCAATTTCAGAGAATATGACTTTTCTTATAAGTAAGTCTATGGGCAACATGTATATCTTGTATCAACAATTCAGCCTTTTTTCCTTGATTTTTGCAGCCATTTGTAGACACCCATGTGGAAAAAGCAGGGAATGTGTTGCCCCAAATATATGCAAATGTAAACCTGGCTACATTGGTTCTAACTGCCAAACTGGTAGGTATAGCACTCGCTAGTTTGCATAAAGAATTTAATTGATAATTGACATTTCTAAAACATGCACTTTATTTTATACAGCTGTATGTCATCCTGATTGCAAAAACCATGGGAAATGTATTAAGCCTAACGTTTGTGAATGTCCCCCAGGGCATGGTGGAGCAACCTGTGATGAAGGTGATAATTCAAATTAAAAATCAAATAAAAGAAGCAAAATAACACTATTTTCTTTAAAGCTTTTCTTTTAAAGATAATTCAGTTTTACTGTGTCTGTACTAATATATAGTCATTAATGCTGGCGGGGAAGTCTAAGCTTTTTAATGTTTATTAAAAATAATTTATTTCAAGCTTCTAAAAACTTAAATTTCTAAAATTAGACATCCAGAAAGTAAAGCTTATTTGTCCTTGGTAAAATTGTCTTCGGAAGTAGTATTTTTGAGGTTTAGTTATAAGGTACCATATCCCTACATGTATTTTAGTTTCAAGCAAAGGACACCTGATTATTGAATGACTTGTCAAACATGACTCCAAGAAAGTGCTGAATACCAAATAATTAGAAGATATTAGGTAGTAAAAAGAATCCTAGCAAGTGAATTTCAAAACATGTCTATAGCCATATAATTTTATTATTTTGGTTGAAATCTTAAGAGGAGAGTTTATGAAATGGCATTTTAAAAATGGATAATATTTTAAAAGAACACATTCATTATTTTTAATATTTTAAAGAGTATACTTTGATAGGTGGTACAAATAATTACAATAAACTAAGAGCCACACTAAATACTTTCATGACAAGGCAAGTTACAAATTAACAAATTAAAGTAAATCCAGAGTGAACTAAGAGAAACACTCAATATCGATAGCATATGAAAATAATTGTGGAAATACAGGAGTAGTCCATTTCTAGGGCAGGAATGTGTAAGTCCAAGTCTCACTTCTCAGAAGAACCCCAAGATGATGTATTTCCATCCAGCTAACCAAAAGCTTTATAAACCAAAACATGCTGATGGTTTGTTGGTGTTTTTAGAATATAAACTTACATAGTCAATCCCACAGAACTAAATTTCATAGTAAAAGAGAACTGAGTTTATTATAAATTGTTCTTACAAGGAAGTTTCTTGTGGCTGTGATTCATAAATATGAACTGACCTTTTCCTGATTCAGAGCTGACTTAATAACATAGTCTGTGTCTGCAGAACACTGTCGTCCACCTGGTGGCACCTGCCTGGCTGGAAATCTCTGCACTTGTCCTTATGGTTTTATAGGACCAAGGTGTGAAACAAGTAAGCAAAACTCTCTTGCAGCCTAATGTAAGGAAACTGCTGCTTTGAATAGTTGATGGCTTTAATACTAAGGTAAACCCAAAGCCTAGTTAAAGGACATGCATTCATGATTTGTTCTGACAGTCCCCATTCTGCATGCCACCGGGAGCCCTGGGTGCCAGTACTAAGGTAAAGAAGTTTGTTCTTAGAAGCAACTCTCTTCTTGACCCTATCCGTGACCATTTCTTTGAGATAATAAGAATTCCAGTTGGTTGATTTGCATATGTTTATCTTGTTTAATTTATATCTATGATTATTTTCATTAGTAACTAACAATTTTCTGGAATAGCCAACTCTTGTTTGCCATCCAGCTCAATGATTTTCTTCCTTCCCCAACTCTATTAGCAAAAAATAGCTGAATGTGAGAATCAGAGACCATTTAAAGCCAAAGAATAAGTTATTTTTATTTTTCTCTCTGATCTTATTCATCAGAGGTTGTGATTGGCAGTTACGAGCTAGCTAGGTAATAGCCAATAATATGGCCGGTTCCAAGCCTAATCTACCTTGCTTTTATTTTTATTCTACAACCTTAGTGGTTTGTAACAGGCACTGTGAAAATGGAGGTGAATGTCTTACACCAGATACTTGCCAGTGCAAGCCTGGCTGGTATGGACCTACTTGTGGTACAGGTAAAATCAGAAATACATTCAATGAATACAGTTAAAGCAAATTTAAGGTGCACCAATATCCTAAAGACCAGCACCCCAAAGCATAAAGCTAATCTGACAAGATTGGTATGAAGTTTTATTAAAACCCTGTCTTTTGATTCTTTTTCTTCTTGTATCAGACAATAGAGAGTATTTCAGCTTTACTGCTATCCAGGCCCAACCAGTCCTTTTTTTTTTTTCTTTTTGCCTTTATATTTCCATCATCCACTTGCTTTATAGTGGAGAGAAACAAATCTGTGTTACATCTCCTAGATCTCTTTCAAGTTTTTTATCACAACACAGACATTCTGTTTCATGAAACATTCAAGCAATTAAGGGACACCATCCCATTATTCTGTTTCTTTACCACAATATCAGGCTCACTTCTTTGCCAGCATGTTTGCAGTTATCTATGTGTAATCTAATCCATTGTGATCTAATGACTTTTCTCAACATAAATTTAACTTAATGCTTATAGCTTGCCAACTATGTGTGAAGCATGATGCAAGGGGAAGCAAAGATCAGTTTGATTTTTCCCATGACTTCAAATAGCACATTAGTGAAGGAGACACAGGATACAGTTATTCAAAAAGACTATGATACAAGTTGGATTATAATAAGTAATGTAATTAACACACAGTTCTTGGAAGCAGAGAAGACAGAAATTCAGTCTGGCAAATACAGTTTGGAAGAAAATAGTATTGAGGTAGGCTTTGGAGGATGGGTAAAGTCTGGGTTGCAAAATGGAACTGGGGGTACCTCTCAAAGTGGAACAAAGGTAAAGAAGCAAAAACAGAGAATGCTTCTGAGCATGCTAGGACTTGAGTGCAGTGTTTCTATTTGAATGAGGAAGGAGACTTAAAGAGGTACACATGTGGCCCCATGTATTTGAGCAGATTACAGACCATCCAGTTAGTGCTGTTGAAATGTCTTCTAGTTTCCCATCATTTTTTCAGCTTACAGAGGGCATTCTGAATTCTAATCATAACCTCCATATTCTTAGCTTGGTATTATTTGTAAACTTAATGAACAGACTTTCAAAGCTATTATCCAGTTATTTCATTCCTCTTATGTTTGGCAAAGTCAAATTAATTATGGGTTATGGGTTTTACTTGCAGTAAAAATAAAATATTTCATTATGCACCATTTTGTACTTCAGTGCAGCTTTCGTTTTTTAAATAACAAAACTTTTATGGTCTCTCTTTCCCCTGCCGTTCATTAGCTTTGTGTGATCCCATTTGCCTCAATGGTGGTTCCTGTAATAAGCCAAACACTTGCCTCTGTCCAAATGGATTCTTTGGTGCACAGTGTCAGAATGATAATTATTCTTTCTTTCTTTCTAAATAAAAAGGGAAAGGCATAAACAGAACTCAGAGTAAGCATAAGACAAGTCTCAAAGGGGAAGATGCTATTTTTTCTTCTCTATTTCTTGTGATGTTGCCATTGTGGTCACCAAATGACCAGATCTTGGAAATGTATGTGAGTTATTATGTAAAATATTTGTATTTATTCAACATATATTCGGCTCCTGACCTTGGCACTTGTCTGCGTAGTTTTGTAGGATCAAGGGATGAACCAAATAAGCAAAGTTCTCTTGCAGTCTGTTGTGTGTAGTGGTGTCATTTTTATGGCCCTCGCAGCAAAAATGTTTGATTAATGGCCAATCTAAGGTCCACTATTATGATCTTTCAACTTTAGTTTTATTAAACATTTATGAAAAGCTAGCTATGCACAGCACTGTGCAAGGTGATATGGGCACAGAAAGACGCATCATTTCTCCCTTTGTGGCCTGCTATTTTAACATTTTCCCTGGTATAGTAAACCTACAGTTTTTTTCAGAATAATGAGCATGTCCTGAGGCTGACAGTGTAGGCATGAATGAATGTCAATAAATGAAATTTAAAATGTATTTTCTACATCTTCATATCTTTGAGTTTATGCAAAATGCAGAGTAGATTTTTAGTAGAAACATGTCAGAACCTGTCATAATTTAATTCCTAAAACGTATACTTTCCTTGCCATGTTATACTTTGATGTGATTTCATTTCTTTTATTTGGAGGTTGGCTAGGATTCTTAGGTTGCACTTGAGCTAGAGAAGAAACCATCGCTGAAGTACTAGCTACACAGGCATAGCAAATGAGTTTTTCTAATTAAGATTTCCTTTAAGGAGCCAGTTTGTGAAATGGGAAGAAGAAAAGACTAAGTTAAGGCAAACCTTGAAAGCCAAGCAACTACGTCTAAATCCATATTTATGAGCTGTAGGTGTAGTTTTGACCAAGAATGTAAGAGTGAATTAAAAAGCTGATAACTCTCATGCTCCTTGCAGTAGATGCAAGATACAGTGAGAAAACTTCTCCAAAATTTATATGCCAACCAAATAACCGGGAAAGGAGGAAATCTCTAAATTACTAAGTATTAAACTAAAATTTATCTGTTGAACATATGTCATGTTGGCAGGTTTTGGAGTTAGGTGGCCTCTAAAACTTCTAGCTAGCATGGATTTTGGAATTTACTTAAAGTCTCCAGGATCAGACTTCCTGACTTTCAGGTTTGAACTAGACAGTTGATGTAAGGGGCAAGTGAGACATAATACTGTAAGTGCATGGCTAGCTACCATAAATAATAGTACAATTGGTTTTTTAGTTGTTTTTTTTTTTTTTTTTTGCGGAGGAGAAGGGCAGAAGTAGAGGGAGAGAGAGAATCTTAAGCAGACTCCATGCCCAGTGCAGAGCGTAATGCAGGGCTTGATCTCACGACCTTGAGATCATGACCAGAGATCATGACTCAAATCAAGAGTCAGGCACTTGACCAACTGAGCCCCCCAGGTGCCCCAGTACAGTGGTCTTTAAGACATGCTGCAGAAGATGCAGAAGAAATAATAACATGATCTTTATTATCATTTAGGGAAAAAATAAGATTTAAAATTTCCAGGCAGGTTTGCTTATCATTTTTTTTAAATAAAGGCATTTAATTGTCATTTCTGGAAGAAACACGAAGCAATAAAAATCCTCTCATAAAAGATAATAAATATTAACTTTTGAATTCCATGGAGCAGAATCATATACACAGAAGATACTAGTACAACATAGTCAAGGTTATCCAATAAATAGTCCTAACAAAGCCAAGGAATTACTGTTAAAAGGACTTTTCACTAAGCATTCACAGAAATAAGTCACATACAAAGCTCTGCCTTTATGACCTCAGTAGGTATTCAAAAGTCAACTTAAAATTATTTTCCAAAAATCATGTGACAGATTGTTGAGATTTTTCTAATTTCCACAGAAATAGATGCATTTCTTATTTTGAGCCAGGGTTTGACTTATTTTCTTGGTTCTGCCCCGATCATTTCACTCTTTACTTCCAAGAACAGTGAAATACAAGATCAGGTTCATAATTTAAGCACTATAATACCAAAGATGCTGTTTGTTATGAACACTTCATCAATACGTTTCAAATTGTGCTAATCCACTGGTTGCTTAAAGCTATGAGCATTGGATTTTATGATTTAGAAAGGATGGTTTTAATGATTTGCAGTTGTGATCTTTTAATAGCACATTTCTCTGCCTTATGGCCTCATAGATAACAAGCACATGAGGCAATATGTAATATATAATAATCGGAGATGTAATATTCACAGATTGCTGCCATGTGTTCTTTTAGCTATCTGTCACCCTCCCTGTAAGAATGGCGGCCGCTGCATGAGAAATAATGTGTGCACCTGTCATGAAGGATACACCGGTAGGAGATGCCAAAAAAGTAAGACACCACTGAATGTATTCACCAAGCACAGGTAAAGCAAACACATGAAATAGCAAAAGTATTGCTATTTGAGGGCTGTTTAATCCCTTTCCCTGAAGGTATCTGTGATCCCATGTGCATGAATGGAGGAAAATGCATTCGACCAAACGTTTGCTCTTGTCCTTCTGGTTGGAGAGGGAAACAATGCAATACAGGTAAGAGGAACACTCTTAAAATGTTAAAGCCTCATAAGAACATAAAGCAGAATTTACCACAAAGAGCATTTGCCTTGTTTTTGTTGTGTTTTGTCTTTGTTTTTGCTTCTTTGTTCCTACGTTAGGGGATCGCTTTTTGAAAGAGTAAAATGCCAAGGGCTCTAAATTCATTCTTTCAGGTTAGCGGGAAAAGAGGATGTTCTGTATTTCCAGTCTGTCCACTAGAATTGCCAGGATAAATGACAAGTCTTTAAGTCCTGTCTCCTTGTCTTAAGTAGAGGGCAGGAGAAGGTGTAAATAATTACTGATTCCTTGACCCCATCTCAGACCAACCAATTCAGAACCTTCCAAGGTGGGGTACCACTGCTTTCAAGTTTGGCTAGGTTTTGAGGTGATAGCAGCTCTCCTCATTCAAATGTTTAATTTTTTTTTCCTTTTTATAAATTATCATTTAAAAGTACCAGCTATTGGGGCGCCTGGGTGGCTCAGTTGGTTAAGCGACTGCCTTCGGCTCAGGTCATGATCCTGGAGTCCCGGGATCGAGTCCCGCATCGGGCTCCCTGCTCGGCGGGGAGCCTGCTTCTCCCTCTGACCCTCCCCCCTCTCATGTGCTTTCTCTCTCTCTCATTCTCTCTGTCTCAAATAAATAAAATCTTTAAAATAAATAAATAAATAAATAAAAGTACCAGCTATTATAATGTATTGGTCAAAGTGAAAAAATAAGCAACGTAAATGTCCAACAATTGAGGGAAAGTTAAATCTCAACGCATTCGATCAGTGGAATGTTAATATAACCATTAAAATTGCCTTATTCAGGGACCAGTAGTGACACTGAAAAATGTTCTTGATAAAATGTTAAGGGAAAAGCTCCTTTAAATCATTAAATTTTAACTGGTTCTCTTTTTTTTTTCTTTGGTGAAATTTTTTGTGGTTTATTCATGAGTATTTGACTAGCAAATTAAATTTTTAACTTGTTTATATTTCTGTTTGCAGCTATCTGCTTTCAGAAATGTAAAAATGGTGGTGAATGCATTGCTCCCAGTATATGCCATTGTCCTACCACATGGGAAGGAGTGCAGTGTCAAATACGTAAGCCTACAAAATTTGTTACTCTGTGTTCTGAACCTGAATCTGTTATAATCATCAAACAAAGTATAGTGTGAGAAGAAATCATAGAAAAAAAACAAATCCCAGCATGCCGACCCATTCAAAAAAAGGCTTTAGAAATAAAAGAAATCTTATTGTTATACCCATTTAAAAGAAGAAAACATGGGCACCTGGGTGGCTCAGTTGGTTAAGCAACTGCCTTCAGCTCAGGTCGTGATCCTGGAGTCCCAGGATCGAGTCCCACATCGGGCTCCCTGCTCGGTGGGGAGTCTGCTTCTCCCTCTGACCCTCTCCCCTCTCATGCTCTCTCTCACTCTCACTCTCTCAAATAAATAAATAAATAAAATCTTAAAAAAAAAAAGAAAATATGGCAAAATATATTAAAATTTTATGTGACACAGTTAACTCCTAATTATGATCTGTGCGTTGCTTTTGAAGTTCTCTCAGGTGTGCTGAAGAAGGTTTTTAATATACACTTTCAATATTTTTTTCATATTAAGAGAAAAATATGTATCAATCATGAAAATCATAAACTATATTAAAAAGTTTTAAAAACTAAATTGTCCCAGATTCCACCACCTAGAACTAATTCCTATTATGACTTTAATGTGTTAATATATTTCCCTTAGTGTTAGTCATACATATTACATAGATGAGGTCTCAGGGTATTCAGAAAAATCAAATTGTATGTAATTTGGAAATTTATGAAACCTTGAAATAACATGTTAAAATGGTAACAAAGATTAACTCAATGGGAAAAACTGGAAATCTCCCCAAAATATTTACAAATGATCAGTAGTTACATCATTTCAAAACTGGTGATCCAAGTGCTTTGTAAACTGAAAACATACAGTTGCAAAATGATCATGCATTTTTATTAGAAATCCCTGCCCTGTTTTTTGATGTTTTATGAACCACATTTGTTTCCATGTATCAGAGATTCTGCATATAACTCCCATGACTCTTTGACTTTATTAGTAACTGTTATTATAATTTATACATTTTTCATCCTAAGAAAATATTATCAAAGAATTCACTGAGTGCTACTGACTGCTTAAGAAATATCTGCTCAAAAATCAATAATTCTTATTGGAAGTTAGATGTGATAAACTGCTAGAAAAAAGAGCTATCACCCTCAGTTTGGGCTTCTTATTCTAGAGAGAGGTCTATGTGGACACGAGAGAGAATGAAGAGATGTTAAAAGCACATTTAGTGTGGGAAGGTGCCCCAGTGAGTGTGGGTTGAAGTACTCTGCAGCATCACAATATGCTCTCTAATTGTGCACCTTGCAGCACTTCTATATGAAGTTTTCAAAGTCCCCTTCCCCAAAATGCTTTATTTCCAACTGTCCAGAAATTCTAAATATTGACGTTTTTTGAACAAGGTGTCTTATTGCCATCTGCTGGAAAGTCATTGTAACAAATATTCAAATCTATGATGTCTGTGATGTGAAAAGTTCTTCCTTACTGTGGAGCTTTGTGCATTACAACACCTGCCCAACCATACCCAACAACCCTTAATGTTGCACTTATACCAAAGTGAATATTATTCTTGAGTTCACAAGCTTTCCTTATGAGCTATGGAAGTAGATACCTCTCCCATGAAAAATAACTGTATTGTATGTAATTTTATATTATGCTTATTTTCACTCAGTATTACTTAAAGCATTTTCCACGTCCTTCAAAACATAATTTTGAATGAAATAGTAAGTTCCATAATATATATATAACATAATTTTAAATATAACATAATTTAGATAGATAGATAAATAATTCACTTGATTTTTGCCTTTATGTTGAACATTGTAGTCATTTATGTTATTACTCTAACAAGCATTTTCTCTCTGTAAGTGGGTAGTTGGATAGATGATAATATAGGTAGATAGATGATAGATAAATAGATCGATATTGAGGTATATTGAGATAGATGTAGGTATTTTTAAGTTTCCTGAGAAGAGATTTTTTAAGGAAGAAATTGCTTGTTTAAAAATTCTTAGGAAGTTTCTAATACAGTTGTTTCACATTAAACTTCCAATGATAGTATATTAAATTGTCAATTTTTCCGTACACTGGCTGGTACTGAATTGTTTTTTTTAAATGTTTGCTAAATTATCAAAAAGCAAATTATGAATGTTATTTTATGTTACTAATTTGAATCTTCTCTCTAAAGAAAACAAAAACCTATACCGAATGTTTAAAATGTAGCCAATGGAAATTCTGTTTGCTTTAATAATATCTTTAAAGAATTGTGAAACTGATGTGTTGAATTCTGGCTGTTTTGTTTATTTATGTGTATGAGTACGTGTGTGTGTGCTCTGGCCACACAAGGATGGGAGTGTAGTTGGTCATTCATAAAATCTTACGACTGTTTTATAGTTGAGTTGCTGAATGGCTTCAGACCACCAGAATAGAATATTTCACAAGCATTTGTGTCAAAGGATGGTAATGGTAAAAATTTGTGTATTGCAGCAATTTGCAAACAAAAGTGTCTTTATGGAGGCAGATGTGTATTTCCCAATATGTGCTCTTGTCGCGGTGGATATTCTGGAGTCAAATGTGAAAAGAAAGTACAGGTACTTTAAATTTTAAACAGAAAATAAATATTAGATATGGACATCTGCTGTCTACTCAGATATTCTGCTTAGCAATTGACACCTATCTGTTAATGTTTACTTTTTTTCCAAATAAACATGCAAGGATTTACTGTCTGCCTCTGAAACTAAAAATAGTATCATTTTCGTGTCATGATAGGGTTATCTTAATATTCAAAATTTGATGTGTACTTAAGGAATTTTAATGTTTAGATATGACTGTCAAGTGTAATATTCTGTTTCATGGCACTGGAGCTGAAAGAGAACAAATTTCCCCCAATATGAACTTAAGATACCGCTAATTTATATTTTGGTCAAATGCTAGATAAAAAGGCTACCTTCACCCCTCCCCCCATTTTTTTTTTTTAAATCCACCACTTTTAAATCCAGGGCTTCATCGATTTGAGGATGGGTTGGGTGCCCCTAAAACCTTGTCTATCCTCATTCTTTTCCCAGACAGTATTTCTTTCTCTTACTTGCTCCCCATTAAAGGCCATGTCAGGGACACCTGGGGGGCTCAGTCGGTTAAGCGTCTGCCTTCGGCTCAGGTCGTGGTTCCAGGGTCCTGGGATGGAGCCCCACATCGGGCTCCCTGCTCAGTGGGAATCTGCCTCTCCCTCTCCCTCTGCTGCTCCCCCTGCTTATGTGCTCTTTCTCTCTCTCTGACAAATAAATAAATGAAATCTTTAAACAAATAAAATCCATTTCGGGGAAAGCAGTAAAAAAAACCTCTTCATATCATTAGAATTAGGATTTATTTTTATTTAAAAAATCAAGAAAACGAAGGAAAAATAGATGCTTTCTTAGAGTTCCTGATACTGCCCCACACTTACTTAGAAGGCCAGTGCTATAGAAACATCTATTTTATTTTATTTTTTTTAAAGATTTTATTTGAGACAGAGCACAAGCAGGGAGGGAGGGAGAAGCAGACTCCCCGCCTAGCAGGGAGCCCTCCGAGGGACCCGATCCCAGGACCCTGAGATCATGACCTGAGCCGAAGGCAGCTGCCTAAACAACGGAGCCACCCAGGCGCCTCTAGAAACATCTATTTTAAAAGTTTCTATGATCAAATCTGTGCTCATAAGATTAAACTAAATTTTATTTTGTCTCCAATCTTAAATTTCTAAATATCTACAGCCAAGGAATTTTTTTAGTCCTAATTCCTACATGTGCAAGAGTGGTGCTAATGCGGGGGCGAGCAGAGCTCTCAAAAATTTCCTAATCTGTGTTAGTTCTAACCTAAAAAGCAATTATATGCTATTTAGCACTTCAGAAAGCCCTAGGATTGTGAATATCAAAGTATGCTGGAGTGCTATAATTTGAACAATGTAAGGAGTTTTCTTTCTGAAGTGTGATCCTGGACGGTCTGTCTCAGAGGCACAGCGCATGCGCACATGTGTTTCTCCCTGCCTGGTGTTGCTCCGGGATGCGTACGCCCTCCGTTTTGGAAACAAAAACAAGCTCATAACTGTACTGTGGTTTGAAAACCAGAAAACAAAAGTTACAGGGTACCAATTGGATCAGCTGTTGTTGAGAACAGTAAATGTAAAAACGTGAATTCCCTGGTTCAAAGGCCATGTGCACGTGTATTATTTTATTTGGAGATTTTTATGGCACAGAAATCCTATGACCTCAAAAGCTTTCAACTTCACTCTGACATACTAAACTAGGTGACTTCTCTATAACCTTTTTTAAATCAATTTCTTTACTACCTGAATCCTTCGTCAGATCATCTTCATCCCCGCTAATGGTGCTTCTGAGACGGCATCTGGAGCCATATTAAGGAAGGAAAGAACAGCGGGTCATGGGGAAGGAAAAGGAAAACAAAAAAGAGATTAGCTCAAGGACCCCATGTCCTGCTTTCCTATAGCCTGCTCTTCTAAATTCTTGACTTTAATTCTCACTTGAGCTTTACTCTGTTGCTCATTGGTATCATTGCTTCATTTGTTTTTTATATTTCTTTGGCTCCAAAACAGAGGGTAAAAATAAATTTCTTTTTAATTAGGAAACAAACTACCATTTATGAGCATTCACAGAACCCTTCCTGACTCTTCCCTGTACCCTTCCTGCCTACCTTCCTGGCCCTTCTTCCAGCATCCTGAGGTAGTGGAGGGAAAAGAAATGGAAGATAGTGATTGAGTTGCCAGAATTTCAATCAAAACAACAGAATGAGAATTACTAGCTAGAAACAAAGGACACAAAGGGGAAATTGGGCAGAGGAGGTGCTAAAGAGGGGTGGGTTTATGAAAGGCTTCCAGAGGCTTCCAAAATTGTTGCCCAGCTCCAATAGGTACATTTAGCATGGGCCCTGCCACTTGCTCACTCTATGACCTTCAGCAAGGTACTGAACCCTTCTGAGCCTCAGTTTCTTCATCTGTACTGTGGTGCTGATAACACCTAATCACAGGGTTGTTAAAGGACTAAATATGTCATCACAAGTGGCTGGTATGTAAAAGACACTGTGTAAGTTGGTTAGTTGGTTATTGATTATTATATTGAACAGAAGAATAGACATGGAGAAGGAAAAGGATGAGGAAGGAGACTGGAGAGAAACGTTGCCATGCACTGAAAACAGTCTTTTCCTAAAAAGTATCAGGAAAAAAAATTTACTGGGTTTTATTGAGCATGGTTGTTTCTTGAATGTAACCTTTGGTCAAGATGGAGTCATGTAGTCTCCAAGCTCTATTTAGTCACAACCGTTTTGATATGTATGTATGTATTTATTTATTAAGATTTTTTTTTATTTGACACAGAGAGAGACACAGCAAGAGAGGGAACACAAGCAGGGGGAGTGGGAGAGGGAGAAGCAGGCTTCCCGCCAAGCAGGGAGCCCGATGCGGGGCTCCATCCCAGGACCCTGGGATCACGACCTGAGCCAAAGGCAGACGCTCAACAACTGAGCCACCCAGGCGCCCCGTTTTGATATTTAAATATGATCTGGATTAGATATCAGTTTTATGAAAGCAGTACTTAGTCTCCAGTGGCAAACATAGAACCAAGAGCTTTCTGTATCATGCCAGAGAGAAGGAGGTGGAAATAATGAGCAAGGGTTAAACAGTTTTCTAATATTCATTGAAACTTGATTTCCCTCTTCCTACTACAGACAAAACGCCATTAATATCAAGTATGTGAATCACAAGCCTGTCTTAAGAATGAAATTTTTATTCAGAAAAAGTTGAAGATAACTACTTGAAGTTTATTTGAACATAATTTTAAAAATTATTTTAAAGACTGAAGAAACTAATAACATATAGAATGGTCTTACCTGTCATTGTTAAAGAAAACCAAAGAAGAAATTCAGGTAATCTGAATTGCCTTTGAAATGTGATTTGATATTTACATAGTGAGATGATGTATCTGATATTGGAGACATTCACATTATCTAATAAACTGAGTATTTCCCAGTTCTTACTGTGATGGTGTCTTTATCATCGGGGATCAGTTAGCATAACAGAAGCCATTTGATGTATCCAGATATAAAGTGTTATGCAGAATTAGGAACTCTCAGGACTCTTGGAAGAGCTGCGGGCGAGGGTGAGGAGAGGGGGAGGTAGAGGTCAGGAAAGCAGCAGCTGAAGGTCAGAGAGGTAGGTATTGAAGATGTTAGCCTAAAGCACCAAGCAGATGCTTTTCAGCTTTCTTGGAGCTGCTGGGCAATACTTGAGAATCTTTAAAAACTCCACCAACTTCTCAAGCAAAGAGGGTCATTATAAAAAATTTGTTGGAAGGCCACTGTGAATCTTTTATCTATCCAAATATCTAGCTGCAAACACCTTTGAAAAAATACTGACTTCCCATTTCTATCTTCTGTCTCTCTGGAAAGCTTTTGTCATCAGCAAAGTCTAACCCAGAACCACACAGAAAAGGGGATTCTAGAAAATGTAGCTCTAGCCTTACACAGAAGTGACAGTGGTACCAAGGAGATAATAGTAAGCTAACAGAAGACATACCCTGTATCTTACTGCTTTGGACTATATTCCAGAGACTAAAGCTGTCATTTTTCCATGATAAAAACACCATATTTAATTTTGCCTGTTTTCCCTTCCAGTCTTTCTATTGCTCTGACCTGTACATTTCTGGACAAGGTGGAAGAAATAATGAAATTTTGGTCTTAGAAGACTTGGTCACTGGGCTGATATGTAAAAAGAGCATGAGGATGTCGGTTTCATTTTTCCATTCTTTTGGTACCTTGATCTATTTTGGTGTAGAAGCAAGAGAGAAACTACCACAAATCAAATCCTTCTACAAATACCAAAAGAGAAGTGAATGCTAAATAAAAGCAAAATGTAATGGCATTAATTGTTGGGGAAGTGGGTAACGTCAACAGGTATATACATAGAATTGAAAGATTGGTCTCAGAGATAAAAATAAATATAGGTTATCTACAGTTATAAATCTTTCCTCTCCTATCTCATATTTGACCTCAAACTGTCTTTTTTAGAAAATATCTTAATTTTTTAAAGACTTATTTTTATTTATTTACGAGAGAGAGAGAGAGAGAGAGAAGCAGACTCCCTGCTGAGCAGAGAGCCAGATACGGGGCTCAATCCCAGGACCCGGAGATCATGACCTGAGCCTAAGGCAGATGCTTAACCAACTGAGCCACCCAGGTAACCCCAGAAAATATTTTAATTTGAACATATCTATTTTAAATCATACAAGTTCACAAAACTCATTTTGTTCTTTTAAGTGTAAATACTCAACATTCCTAAGCCATGTTTAAAATATCAGATAAAGTAAGACATTATTAGAATAAAATTATGCTAACTTTCAAAAGAATCTTGTAAGTAACAGCATTCAGTGTCAGAATTAAAGAGATTTTCATTTATTTCATATTTACTGAAAGGTAGTTTTAAAGAATTATTTAAGAAAACACAGTGTTTCACTGTGTTTTATTTTGTTATCAAAAGTACAGATACATAAATCAAAATAAACCTTTGACAATTAGTGTGTGCAATTTTTACGCTCTTATAAAAATATAAGTCCTAGAAAGAAAAAAGCACTCTAGATAAAAATGAATACTTTTTAAAAGTTAATAATTAGAATTGAAATTCCTACAAAAATAGGTGAAATAAAAATAGATATAATTTTAATATTCATTTCTTAGCCACCTTTGCTCAGTATACAACATAGCAACCAATAGCCTTATTAAATTAATTTTTAATGTATGTTTTTTATGGTTAAAAAGTTATAATTCCTCAAGGATTTATTCTGAAATGTCTAAACCAACACTTTAAATCTTTCATAAATATTTTCTAGATCCACACCAAGAACCCCAAGCTACAATTAAAATATTAATCAGTAGACTCTCCATTTATAATAGATTTAATGGGCCTGTACATGCTAATAATGAAGAAATGCTATGGTTTACAGATTTTATATAAAAGCACTCCTTACGAAAGCTAATGATTCATGCAAATGAAAGTAATGTTTAGGAAATATAATGTGAGTTTAGAAAAGCAAGTAATTTGATAAATTTATGGAGAAGAAATTTAATTTTTTCTTACTTCTTGATATTTTCACATTTATTGACTTTAAAATGTATTGTCCAGAATCCATTTGGTTAATACTTTGAAGATAATGAGTGTTTGAGAACTTAAGCAAAAGTACTTTAAAATGTGTACCTTTCAATGTTTACCTTATAAATCATTTTCCAAAAAGAATTCAGATTATACACCTTGTTTAATATTCTTGGCTATTTTGTGTTTATTCATGTTAACATTTAAATGAAATGTTTGCATTGTCCAATATTCTGATCCTTTCTTTGACCCTCTTATTTAAAATACAAACTTCTCTAAACTTTAAAATATCCCTACTAGCCCTTATTCTAAAATATTAAAGTGTCATAATCTTTTTGATAGAATTAGAAATATATCTTATTTTTCATATTCATTCAGAAATTATAGAACTTATCCAAATTGCAACATACATAATAAAACTTTAAATTTCAGGTTAGAACTATTTGGAAATATTTGGAGCCTGTACTGGAACATGTATATATATTATATATATTTTGTAAGTATCTTTATAACTATGTAATTGTTTTTAAAGTATTTATGTCCTAGAGCTTAAACCACATTTATTTAGTTAAATGAATATAATATTTTCTTTCCTTTATGCCACTTAATTATTCATTCCTTATGATATGCATGCCACTTATTTCTAAAATGAGATGAAGTGACCTAAATATTAAACATGTTAAGTGGGGAAAAAAACAATAAATACAGAAAACCTGAGAAAGGAAGTACTGTATTGTATCTACAATGTTATAATATATAAGTAAGCAAATAATAGGCAGTTATAAGATTGTATTTTTTAGGGGCACCTAGGTGGCTCAGTCGTTAAGCGTCTGCCTTCAGCTCAGGTCATGATCCCAGGGTCCTGGGATCAAGCCCCACCTCGGGCTCCCTGCTCGGCGGGAGGCCTGCTTCACCCTCTCCCACTCCCCCTGCTTGTGTTCCCTCTCTTGCTGTGTCACTCTCTGTCAAATAAATAAAAAATCTTAAAAAAAAAAAAATAAGATTGTATTTTTTAAAAAAGAGGACTAACCATGTGTTCATATAAAGCTTAGTAGATGATCTAAGTGGAATGTATTAATTAATTCTTATATAAGAGACTTTGAATAGCCCTGTAGCTGATATTTTCTCACTTGCTGTTTGCAAATGATACCGAAAACAACTCAATTCTTGTTTATAGAAAAAGAAAAGCCTGATAGTCTTAAGATTTTTTGTCTTCAACACATTTTCCTCATCTGATGAAGTGGATGAAATGGTGTATTTGTAAACAGCAGTAAAATGCAGTTGTGCTGAAATTACTAATATTTAACATTCAGTAAGAAACATCTTACAAAGCCTTTTCCTAGATACCTTCCATCTTTCATAGAACTCGGCCCCTAACCCTGAAAATGGGCGCAAAAACTGAGCCTGTTGATGACTTTGTCAGTTTTTTCCCCCCAGTTTTCAATTTGCCTCCCAAGGACCTCCTCATATAACTCTTCATTGATGTTGAAAACGATGGACAGCATAGTTGACCCGCATCCTCTAATTATCTGTTCACAATGGCCTGGACTGCTCTGGAGTTTGCTGGGGACAAGTATCCCTGTTGTTGAAGAGTGGGTAACTGTCCTCAGTTTCCTTCATTTTCTACCTTGTCTCACTTTGGTGAATACTGCCTCCCTTCTCTAAGGTACGAACCATCAAGTTGAAGTTTTAAGTTTGAACTCAGTGAAAATGGTGACTTAGTAAAAAAGGATATAGAGAAATCTCACAGAGCTCAAAGGCAAGATGTGAAGTTGGGCTTAATGAGAACCAAAAACAATCAAGAAAATAGACCCACTCTATTCTCTTTCTGCGTAGATCTACTGCATAGATATCTCCTCTTGGCTTTTCTGTAAATCTCTATTCTCTCTACTCATTGATCCACCTCAGGATCCAACAAGGCCACCAAATCTACATGGCACTTTCAGTTCCCATAGCAGCCACCCATTGGCTAGAAAACAGTCATTTAGTTCAAAAGTCTAGAGTGAGAAAAACCTTAGAAGGTAATGAAGAGTCAGAGGGTGGGCTTGAGCCAGTGTCCATCCCTGGGCAATCAGCCATGATCACAGCCAGAAGAGTCATATGGATGGAGCTGCTTGTGTGTAGGCTATGAGGAAGTTCACATTCTGAGGTGGGCATATAACACTTCTGAATAGAGGAAGATCCCAGTATGCCGTCGTTTTCAGAGTTTGACTTTTGTGATGCTGAAATTAATTGAGGTAGATAATTAGGCCAGAATAGGCCCCTATTCTTGAGAAATTACGGTAATTGAAGGCAGAAAATTGTTGTCAAGGGAAGTTTTTTATATTTGGGTTTTTTAATTAATTTATTTATTTAAAGATTTATTTATTTTAGAGAGAGAGAGAGAGAGCACGCTTGTGTGCTCACAAGTGGGGGAAGGAGCAGAAGGAGAGAATCTCCAGCAGACTCCCCACTGAGGAGGGATTCCCTAAACGGGACTCAATCTCATGACCCTGAGATCATGATCTGCCAAAACCAAGAGTTGGATGCTTTTTTTTTTTTTAAAGATTTTATTTATTTGACAGAGAGAGACACAGCGAGAGAGGGAACACAAGCAGGGGGAGTGGGAGAGGGAGAAGCAGGCTTCGCGCGGAGCAGGGAGCCCGATGCGGGGCTCGATCCCAGGACCCTGGGATCATGACCTGAGCCGAAGGCAGACGCTTAATGACTGAGCCACCCAGGCGCCCCCAAGAGTTGGATGCTTAAGTGACTGAGCCACCTAGGTGCCCCTGGGTTTTTTAAAATTTGTGTATTTGAGGCAGGTAAACTAAAGCCTGTGAGAATAAATGTCTGTTAAAGGACAGTACTACATAGGATAGTATCTCCA